GTAGCGACTGGGACTGGCGGGTTCGTGCTATAGGTCCCTTGACACTTAGGGGGATAGGGTTTAGGGTTTTTGAGGTTTAGGGTTTAGGGTACTCGGTGATCCGGCGTTCCCCTTGAACCTCAGGACTTTCCCCTCTTCGGGCTAGCTTGCTGAGCTTGCCCGGAGTGAGCCCCGCACCTGCTGCAGCAGGTGGCAAAAAGCAGTAGCCCTGGGCCCAGGTGAAGCCTGCGTGGGCTGGCCTGGCAGCACAGGAAACCCTGTTAGAGGAGGCGTGTGCAGCACGTCGGTGATTCGGGGGGGGCGGGGGAGAGCTGGGGAGCTTCTGGCTTAGGGGGCTTCGGCCTCAGTCCATGCTCAAAACGGGCATGGCATGAGCTTTTTTTCGGCTCATGGGTTGGGACCTTTCAGTGCCGTGGCCCAGCATCCTTTTGAGTCTGTTGGGTGCTTTGGGAGACGCGACACAATGGCTGCTGCAGCGCAGAAGCACCGAAAGTCATGTCCCGACTTCCCTTCCACTGTCAGGAGCCAGACCTGCCCTCTTGCGATCCTACGCCGTTACGCTGTTGCACCCCAAACTATAATCCCACCTTCCCCCCACCCCAAAGCACAACCGAGCCTTAAACTCTTATTCGAAGTTTGAATCCCTGCCACCTTGAGCCCATCATGCAGCCTGAAACGAAACCTCCCTAAACCCTTAAGCCCTCCTTAAACAGGAGTGAGCAAACAACCGCAAACCCTAAACCCTAAACCCTAAACCCCTAATCCCCCAACTGCCAAGAGCCTGCCAAGAGTCCCCAGGCGCGCAGTGGGAACCCCGGAGCTGCCGTGCGAGCCATCGTAGTGGCAGAGGTGGGGAAGCAGAGGGATCCCCTAAACCCTAAACCCTAAACCCTAAACCCTAAACCCTAAACCCTAAACCCTAAACCCCCGGTGCTTAAGCCCTGAACCCTAAAGGGTGACGATCTTGCAAGTTAAAGGGGGGGGGGTTCACGAAAATGAGGGGAACCCCAAATAGACCTAAGGACCCCGAGAAGGTACCCTTAGTTTTCGGAACCTCCTAAATGGCCAAGGGAATCAGACGAAAACCAGGCCGGAACAGTGGAATCTGACAGGCCCCACCATGGCAAGAAAAAGCACGGGAGGCCAGCACATAAGGAGGGTGCAGGGTTTGGCTTAAGAGTATTAAGTCGCAGTCTATGAGTATGATATATATATATATATATATAGATATGTACATATATATATATATATACATATATGTATATACACATATGATATGATTTATGGGTTTTGAAGTCTCAGACTTTGCGGTGGCTTGCGTGCCAGGCGCCGGCCTTTTCCCACGATGCACCGGAGGCACCTGCCCCTGGAAGCGATATCCTGGGGTGTAGGGTTTAGGGTTTAGGGTTTAGGGTTTAGGGGGGTCCGGGTTTTTTTTTTTGCAAAGGTGTGGCTCGGCCCTGTCCCCTTGCAAAGGTGTGGCTTGGCTTGGCTTGGCTTGGCTGGGCGTGTCCTCTGACCTGGCTTGGCTCGGCTTGTCTGGCTTGGCTTGGCTTTGGTTGGCTTGGCTCGGCTTGGCTTGGCTTGGCTCGGCTGGGCTTGGCTTGGCTTGGCTCGGCTTGTCCTCTGGCTTGGCTTGGCTCGGCTTGGCTTTCGTTGGCTTGGCTCCTTGGCTTGGCTTGGCTCGGGTGGGCTCGGCTCGGCTTGGCTTGGCCTGGCTGGCTTGGCTTGGCTTGGCTCGGCGTGGCTTGGCTCGGCTTGGCTCGGCTTGGCCTGGCTTGGGTGCCGACTTCGTTTTGATTTCCCTGTTCTCCCCAGTCGCAAAGATTCTTTTTACCGCGATGTAGCTGTAGCTGGTAGAAATACGTGGAGTGTATATATGTAGTATGCGCAAGCATTGAGTTTGCAAATGGCTGCGCCCCCCCCCAACCCCCCCGCTTTTTTAAGCCGTGCAAGCTTGCGTCAAAGCATATGAGTCTTGTTGAAACCCATGATGCAAGCATTGAGTTTGCAAATGGGGGGGGCTGCGCCCCCCCCAACCCCCCCGCTTTTTTTGAGCCGTGCAAGCTTGCGTCAAAGCATATGATTCTTGTTGAAACCCATGATGCAAGCATTGAGTTTGCAAATGGGGGGGGCTGCGCCCCCCCCAACCCCCCCGCTTTTTTTGAGCCGTGCAAGCTTGCGTCAAAGCATATGAGTCTTGTTGAAACCCATGATGCAAGCATTGAGTTTGCAAATGGGGGGGGCTGCGCCCCCCCCAACCCCCCCGCTTTTTTAAGCCGTGCAAGCTTGCGTCAAAGCATATGAGTCTTGTTGAAACCCATGATGCAAGCATTAAGTTTGCAAATGGCCCCCCCGGTGTTGGAACCCATGATGCAAGCATTGAGTTTGCAAATGGGGGGGGCTGCGCCCCCCCCAACCCCCCCGCTTTTTTAAGCCGTGCAAGCTTGCATCAAAGCATAAGAGTCTTTTTGAAACCCATGATGCAAGCATTGAGTTTTCAAATGGGGGGGGGCTGCGCCCCCCCCAACCCCCCGCTTCTGAAAGCCGTGCAAGCTTGTTTCAAAGCATATGAGTTTTTTTGAAACCTAGAGGCAAGCATTGAGTTTGCAAATAAGGGGGAGGGAGTCGGGGTGGTGAGAGTGGGGGGTGGGGGGGAGTGGGGAGGGGGGTGGGGGGGGGGGGGGGGGTGGGGGGGGTGGGGGGGGGGGGGGGGGGTGGGGGGGGGGTGGGGGGGGGTGTGGGGGGGGTGGAGGGGGGGGTGGGTAGGACGTGGAGGGGAAGGGGGTTACCGAGCCACACCTTTGCAAGAGGACAGGGCCGAGCCACACCTTTGCAAAAAAAAAACCCTCCGCCGGTTTAGGGTTTAGAGATCTCTACGCATAGGTGCCTTTCACGGCCAGTCAGAGCGTGCAATGCTTATGTCATGAAGCCTTGCGTCAATGTGATGATGGATGAGCTGTTTTCGAAAAGCCTTTCCGACTCTTCAGGAGGAGATGGCAAGTGGGGCTTTGTTGCCATGGGCCTCAGCTTCAATCCTCCCTTGCCATGTTTGCCCGGAAACTCTCCGGCCTCTGCCACAAAGCAGCCACCTCTAGTTACTAGGCAATTCCGCAGGAAGTGTGAAGGCTTGCACGCGCGAATTTGGAGACTGCACCGCGCACACCCGTGTGCACAAAATATTCTCGAGCACGATGCCACGGGGCGCATGTTTCCTGAGCGTTTTTGAGGCGAGCTCCCTGCATGGAGAAGCCGGGCATCCAGTTTGCCTTCATTGACCCTCTCGAGGTGGGTCCCCCGAAACCTCCTAAACCCCAAGACTCCACGATCCTCTCGTGCAGCACATGGCCTTTGCTAGGTGCTTCTTGGTGCGAGCACACCTGCATGTATAGGGCATGCTGACATGTGTGCACTGCACACTGACTTTGCTACTTTGAAGGGTTGCGATGCTGCCTTTTAGTGGCTGCATGAGTTGTGTGTAACAAGCAGACTCAGACTGTGTCCAGGCCTTCGTGCCGGAGTTTTCTTTGCTGTTCACGCCGGGGCCCGACGGAAGCTGCCGGGAATCGTTCTGTCGCCTGCGATCATAGGCAGTCCTGCCAGAGTTCAGCCGCGGTCAGATCAGAAGAAGCAACCGCAGTTTGACGTCATCACACATTTGCAGGCTCACAAGTTCGTTTCAGATGCCCTGTGGTTCATCTGGTCCTCGCTGCTAAGTTGCGGCTGCCAAGGTCTTGTCCCGATTTGAAGTGGATTGCTGCCACCAGCTTAGTTGGTGTTTTGGTCCTGCATCCTTCATCCATACTCTTGCACTGCCCTGAGAGCAGTGTCTGCGACTGGAGCTGTGCCAAAGGTTCACAACATCAACCTCAAAGAGATGACGGGATGGATTCCCAGATTCCTCGCAAATCGAACCGAGCCGGTGCCTGAGCCGACAATGGCTCAGTTTGGCCTCAGCCCAAACCTGTGCCATAGGTTGTGGAGCTTCATGTCGTTTAGGGACAAGTAGGGTCCAAACCAAGCATCGGTAAGACTTTCAGGTGTCAGCAGCAACCTCAAACCCCAAGCAAGAAACTCTAAACCCCAAAAACCCCTAAACCCTAAACCCTGCCCTAAACCCTCAACACCAAACCCCGAGTCTGTTTACATTATCCTTCGGTAAGCAGCCCTGATCAAGCCCACAAACATATCCCCAGGTGCCAACCTGAGCTTGGGCTACTGTACAATCTCTTCTCTACTCCGTAAACGCATACGGCACGGGTGAGAAAAGCAAACAAACCCCAAACCCCCCTAAACCCTGAACACTGAACCCTAAACCCTAAACCCTAAACCCTGAAGCCAAAGCCCGAAGCTGAGGTGGCATTTGGTCCTTCGGGGATCGCACATGTGGCGACCGGTGGAGTTGAGCAGGCACGTGCCTGGCGCCCAGCTGCAGTCTCAGCGTGACTACATGATGTGGGATGTTCCCCCTTAGACTGACAGTCCTGATATAGGGATTATCATGGGGGGGGGGGGGGGGACGATAATCCCCTATAAAGGGCTAGTAGTGCTAGTATAAGGGGGAACATCCCAACTTATGTATACTAACTATACCATGTTATAGTCTTGTATTTCTAGACTGTTACTTCATGTCGGTATCACTGTTCGTATACTATTCTACACCTATTTTGGCAAAACTGCGTATACTAATTTGCTAAACTGTTACATCGTTGATGTTATCGTGTGGCTTTACTGTTACTTCATTGTATTTTGTAATACGAAGTACCTGTTGCGCCATTATCTGATTGTCAAACAGTCCAAGCTTGAGACTCCTGGTGGCTCGCCGTTTGTTCTCAAGACTGCGAAGAATTGTCAAAAAAACCTTGCAGGACCGCCCGTGGAATAGAATCGGCATCTGCATAAATTCTCTCCCATAACTGTCCACTGTGTTGTGTGGCATCTTCGTCTGGTAAGTCTAAACTTCTGAACTCCAGGAGTTCGGGTTAGACGCAGTGCAAGCCATGTCCCAGAAGCCTCAGAAGAGCCAGAAGAAGCCGTCGGCCAAGCCGAAGGCATCCGACAAGGAGGACACTTACTTAGCTAACAGCTGAACTTTAGACACTTTGGGTTTCCTCATTTCGTGGGAAATATCCAAGTTTAGCCCTTTTTTCCCCTTTGGTTATGCTGGAGAAGTGAGGACAAGCAGAAGGAGGATGCCGAGTTGGAGATCGAAGCCCTGGCAAAGAAGTACAACACCAACCTCAAGAAGGGCCTTGGAGCGAAGAAGGCCGCCGAGATCCTGGAGCGCGATGGCCCCAATGAGTTGGAGAAGCCCCCGAAGCCCACGCTGCTGATGCTCTTCCTGATGCAGCTCACCAGCTTCATCATCATCCTCCTCATGGTGGCCGCCGTGGCCTCCATCCTGGTGAATGCCACAGGCCCCGACGCTGCGGACCCCCTCTCCTACACCACGGGCATCGCCATCGGGATCATCGTCCTCATCAACGCCGGCATCGCGGCATGGACGGAGCACAAGGCAGGGGATGCCCTCGAAGCGCTCTCTAAGATGACGCAAGCCAACATCTACGTCCTGCGCGACGGCAAGGAGGTGCAGGTCCCTGTGCCAAGCGTGGTTGCTGGCGACATCGTCGTCCTCGGAACCGGCGACGTCGTGCCTGCGGACCTGCGCCTCTTCGAGGCCAAGGACTTCAAGGTCAGCGAGATGGCGCTCACAGGTGAACCCGACGACGTGGCGAAGACCTCCAAGGTGAAGGAGAAGAAGGATGGGGCCCCTGAGAAGCTAACTCCCGAGACCATGGCCTTCTCCGGCTGCAGCATCACCAGCGGCCTGGGCCGCGGCCTGGTCACGGACACTGGCATGAACACCCGCATTGGCCGCATCGCAAAGCTCATTGCGGGCGAGGATGGCGGGCAGAAGACCACCTGCTTCTGCTTCCCGGACACTTCTGGCAATCAGACGCCCCTGCAGCAGAACCTGAACAAGCTGGGTGCACGCATCGGTGTTCTGGCGATCGTGATTTGCGTTGGCATTTTCATCATCGGCTGGGTCACGGACCGCAAAGACCCTTCGAATCCCGAGAGCGCTGCTTGGCTTTACATGATCTTGGTGTCTGTCACCTTGGCGGTGGCTGCCATTCCAGAGGGCATCCCGCTCTGCGTGACCATCTCCCTGTCACTCGGATGTTCGGACATGGTCAACCAGGAGGTGTTGGTCCGAAAGCTGGCGGCTGTGGAGACATTGGGCTCTGCTTCCGTCATCTGCAGTGACAAGACAGGAACACTCACCGAAGGCAAGATGACGATGGTCGGCATGTACACGGCCGGGGTCACCTACGACGTGACCGGCAAAGGATTCGACCCCGAGGTGGGCCAGGTGCAGCGCAGCGGGAGCAGCGCCAACAGCGGAAAGGACACCTGCTAGTAGAGCAGTGGTAACCTTTAACCTTTTTGGGGTAGTATGATCCCCCTATCATCCCCAAGGGGATAACCTTTAGTTCTCTCAGGTTATACAGGAGACAACTAAGGACATGGGGGTGAAGAGCAACTTGCTGGCAGCCATCCTTTGCTGCAACACCACGCTCTCCAAGGAGAAGGACGAGGATGGAGTGATGAAGTGGACCCCCAAGGGCAACTCCTCCGAGGCGCCCATCGTCGTGGCCGCGCGCAAGGTGGGCCTCTCGGAGACGATCGCAAACGAATACCCTCGAGTCCTGGAAGTACCTTTCTCATCCTCCCGCAAGATGATGCTCACGGTGTCACAGGTGAAGGGTACGGAGATCTGCCCCGGTGGGATGCCCTTGCCTGCAGGCACCAACTACTTGGCTGTGTGCAAGGGCGCACCAAACGACATCATCGACCTTTGCTGTGAGCAGCTCAAGGAGGATGGCAGTGTCGCAAAGCTCACGGAGGATGACAAGAAGGACATCCTGAAGATCGTCGATGGCTACTCCGCACGTGCCCTTCGAGTCCTCGCCATCGCTGCCCGACCGATGAGCTCCCTCCCCTACGACGAGAGCAACGAGGACATCTCGACGGACCAGAAGTTCGAGGCATGCCGGAAGCAGCTGCGCCTGATTGGACTTGTCGCATCCATCGATCCTGAGCGAGATGGCGTTCCCGACTCGGTCCTTGCTGCCCGTGGTGCGGGCATCCGCGTGGTGATGATCACCGGCGACTACCTGCTCACCGCTATTGCCATCGCCAAGAACGTCAACATCCTTCAGCCCTGCGATGACCCGGATGTCTCTGCCGTGGACTGTGCTTGCCTCCGCCCCGATGGCGAGTACTTGGATTCCAAGGAGATGGACAAGCTGACGGGCTCAGTCCGAGTCTTCGCCCGTGCAAAGCCCGAGGACAAGCTGGAGATTGTGAAGAGCATCCAGCGACAAGGACAGGTGGCAGCGATGACAGGTGGGGTTCTCCGAAATTCGGGGGTACCTTACAAGGGGGTCCGTATTATAAGGGAGTCCTACTACTTGGGGATCTGTATTGGGGGGGGGGGTCCCCGATTTTCGTAAATCCCCCCAAGGTGACGGAGTCAATGATGCCCCAGCCCTGAACCAAGCGGACATCGGCGTCGCCATGGGCATCCAGGGTACCGAGGTGGCCAAGGGAGCCTCTGACATGATCCTGACCGATGACAACTTCTGCTCCTAGGCATTTCAAGATTGCCCTAGGGTTTAGGGTTTAGGGTTTGGGGTTTGGGGTTTGGGGTTTGGGGTTTAGGGTTTAGGGTTTAGGGTTTAGGGTTTAGGGTTTAGGGTACAAAAATGTTCCCCTTCCTTTCTGGGTTTAAGAGGACCATATATATATATATATAAATCTATATATATATATCTATATATATATATATATAGGACTATTGTTCAAGGAGGGTTCTGAAGGGCCCATCCGAGGCTCCATCGTGGCTGCTGTCGAGAAGGGGCGCGCCATCTACGCGGGCATCCAGAAGTTCGTTGCCTTCATCATGTCGGTGCACATTGCCGAGGTGGGTTTAGGGTTTAGGGTTTAGGGTTTAGGGTAGTTTAGGGTTTAGGCTTTAGGCTTTAGGCTTTAGGCTGTAGGCTTTAGGCTTTAGGCTTTAGGCTTTAGGCTTTAGGCTGTAGGCTTTAGGCTGTAGGCTTTAGGGTGGGTGTATATATGGTGGATACAAGGAATCTAAACCCTACTTCAGGTCATGCAGATCTTCATCTGCATCGTGGTGGGCATTCCGGTCATGCGCACGCCTCTTCAGATCCTTGGTAGCCTCAGGAACCATCTTACAATAAGGGCACCCTTTTTTGGGGTGGCTATTTTATAATGGAACCCATACCCCAAAAAAGGGTACCACTGGGCTACCCAGGATCCTCTTCCTGATTCTGGTCACTGACTTGCCCCCTTCCATTGCTTTGGGCGTCGAGCCAGGTGAGGCAAACATCCTTAAGATGCGCCCACGCCCGAAGGATGAGCCAATCGTGCTGGCCTGGATGTGGCTGGCCATGGTCATGAATGGCATGGTCTTGACAACCGTGATTGTCGCAGTGTACTTGATCTCACTTATGAACTTCTGCGACGGCGAGTTCCTGCAAGCGAACATCTACCTGCTTGATGACTATGAGACCAAGTTAAGCTTGGCTCAGACGGTGGCATTCATCTCGCTGGTTTGGTCTGAAAACATCCGCGCCTACATCTCCCGTTCCTTCACGAACCCGATGTGGCATGACGTGCTGGGCAACAAGGAGATGCAGAAGGCGATCGTCCTGGCCCAGATCTGCCTGTACGCAGCCGTGTTGACCCCTTACCTTTCGGACAAGATCCTGGGACTGCGGGGTCTGGAGATCGGCGTGTTCGGCTGGGCTCTGGCAATTATCGGCCCGGTGGGCTGCTTCATTCTCTCGGAAGGCTGTAAGCTCATCAGCGCCTACCAGGCCAGGAAATACCAGGACTCTTTGGCAATCTCGCAGTCTGAGACCCCATCTTTACCCGTCAAGGGCAAAATTGGGAAGCCATCGAAGGCGGTGGCTGAAGAGCCCCTCAAAGGCCGCTGCGGAAGCTGCTGGGCGTGGTTTTGGTGAGAGGCCGTTGCAGATAAAGCTTCTGCGCGGTCCGGCGGGCCAATTCTTGCAGCTCCTTTGCCTTCTTCTCAGGATGTTATGGCAGTTTCTCAAGTCAGAGTCATCAGCGCCTCCTAATTTACGGTCATCAGCGCCTCAAACAATCAAGGCGAAGGGGCCGCGCTACCCTCATGATGCCATCTTCCCGCAAAACAGTGCAAGGCCCCAACTCCTTGGACTTTCTGATATAAGCACAGCTGTCTTCGTTACATTCTAAACTGGAAGATATTGGATATGGAGAGTCATGTTACTCCATGTTGTGCCCTTGCCAAGGAGAGAGCATGTACAACTGCTGGTAGCGCGTGTCCCGTAGGCATACTCCGCTGCATTTGGCCCGCGCCACTTTTCCGCGAATATGGGAACTTTGTGAGCACTTGGACCAATTTGTACTGTAGCCGACGTTGCTGTCACCGGGCGACTGGGTTGCCATGCTGGGATCGGAGATCGCAGCTAGCACATTTAAACTCCGCCGTTCGTGAGTGGCCTTCTAGGCTTCGACTCATCTCGGGAATTCAGCCAAGCTGTCTCCCATGAGAAAACGCTGTCGTACGGACAAAAATTGCTCGCCTCTGCTTTGGCACGGCCTTCGTCCTGCGAGTTGAAGTCAGCTGCAGAATAGCATACTCGCGCCGGCCAGCCCCGTCGAGTGAGAAACGCAAGCTAAAACAGGAACCCTGGATATATATATATATATATATATACACACATATATATAATGTATATACTCCTATATATATGTGAATACTCGTATACCTGGATGCTTGTCTGCTATACTTGACAACCCGGTCAGGGAGTTCGAGTCGAAACCCAACCCCCAAGCTCCGCCGACTTCTGAGCCGAAATTTTCAGGCCCAGAAGGCGTGGGTGGCAAATGTCAGCCTCTCAGTGTGGCGAGGAGGTGGGTGTAGGGTTGGGGTTTAGGGTTTAGGGTTTAGGGTTTGGGGTTTAGGGTTTAGGGTTTAGGGTCTTTGGGTCGGCAGCAATCATCGTCAAGTCCGGTTTCAAAAAGGGTTTAGGGCTTAGGGTTTAAGCAGTTTGGGGTTTAGGGCTTATAGAGTGTGTGTGTGTGTGTGTGGGTGTGCGTGTGCGCGTGCGTGCGTGCGTGCGTGCGTGCGGGCGTGCGTGCGTGCGTGCGTGCGTGCGTGCGTGCGTGCGTGCGTGCGTGCGTGCGTGCGTGCGTGCGTGCGTGCGTGCGTGCGTGCGTGCGTGCGTGCGTGCGTGCGTGCGTGCGTGCGTGCGTGCGTGCGTGCGTGCGTGCTTGCGTGCGTGCGTGCGTGCGTGCGTGCGTGCGTGCGTGCGTGCGTGCGTGCGTGCGTGCGTGCGTGCGTGCGTGCGTGCGTGCGTGCGTGCGTGCGTGCGTGCGTGCTTGCGTGCGTGCGTGCGTGCGTGCGTGCGTGCGTGCGTGCGTGCGTGCGTGCGTGCGTGCGTGCGTGCGTGCGTGCGTGCGTGCGTGCGTGCGTGCGTGCGTGCGTGCGTGCGTGCGTGCGTGCGTGCGTGCGTGCGTGCGTGCGTGCGTGCGTGCGTGCGTGCGTGCGTGCGTGCGTGCGTGCGTGCGTGCGTGCGTGCGTGCGTGCGTGCGTGCGTGCGTGCGTGCGTGCGTGCGTGCGTGCGTGCGTGCGTGCGTGCGTGCGTGCGTGCGTGCGTGCGTGCGTGCGTGCGTGCGTGCGTGCGTGCGTGCGTGCGTGCGTGCGGGCGTGCGTGCGTGCGGGCGTGCGTGCGTGCGTGCGTGCGTGCGTGCGTGCGTGCGTGCGTGCGTGCGTGCGTGCGTGCGTGCGTGCGTGCGTGCGTGCGCGCGTGCGTGCGTGCGTGCGTGCGTGCGTGCGTGCGTGCGTGCGTGCGTGCGTGCGTGCGTGCGTGCGTGCGCGCGTGCGCGCGTGCGTGCGTGGGTGAGGCATGGCAATTCAGGTGTTCAACGCACGGGCATGCCTGATGCCTCTGTGCAGCAACATAATTTGGGGGCTTGAGTCTCTCGGGTGGCTCCATGATTCAGTTGTTGTGCCTCTTCAACCTTGCGTCCAAGTCTCTTCAGAGATTTCGGCAAAATCCTTTCGCATCAGCTCGTGTCTTCGGACGTTGCACGTCGCCTGCGTGGATTGCTTTAACACTTGCAGAGCTTGCCCTAGTTAACTTGCAGGCGGATTGCTCACGGGCCTGTTGCACAAGAAGCGTTTAGGAATTTTAGGTTCAGGGTTCCAAGAGGGTTTAGGATGTTGCTATTTAGGTTTGCCGCACGCAGACACGGCCGAACCCACACAAGGTGCCAGGTGCGTCCTAAGCCAAAACGGCGTGCCAATACACCTCCGGGCACATCTTGCCATATCTTGCCTTGCCGGGTGTGAGGGTCAGATTCGGAACCCTAAACTCAACACATCTAAACTTTCGGCCCTATAGTTGAGACTCAGAAGCCTGAACCTTCCGCCATCTGCCACAGGAACACACAAAGCAGCTCCTTGAAGCCCTGCGAGACCCCCTGGAGTTTGCAGAGCCCCTCTCCTGGCCCCGAGAGTCCCCTCTAAACTTGGGGGTGGGCTCTGCCATCATTTGCCATGGGATTTGCGCCACCAACTGTGGGTCCTCCGTTACAGCCCGTTACCGTTACAGCTCCGTTGCACCTCCGTTACAGCTCCGTCACAGCTTCCGCTAGAGCTCCGTTACAGCTCCGTTACAGCTTCCGGTACCGTTCCGTTGCAGCTCCGTTACAGCTCCGATGCACCTCCGTTACAGCTCCTTTACAGCTTAATCCGTTACAGCTCCGTTACAGCTCCATTACAGCTCCGCTACAGCTCCGCTGCACCTCCGTTACAGCTCCGTTACAGCTTCCGTTACAGCTCCGTTACAGCTTCCGTTACAGCTTCCGTTACAGCTCCGATGCACCTCCGTTACAGCTCCGTTACAGCTTCCGTTGCACCTCCGTTACAGCTCCCGTTACAGCTCAGTTCTACAGCTCCCTTGCAGTGCTACAGGTCCGTTATCAAGTTGCTGCTTCTGCTACGGCTCCGTTGCAGCCTTCCGATACGGCTCCGTTACAGCTCCGCGACACATCCGTAACAGCTCCGCTCATTTCCGTGACAGTTTCTGTTGCAAGCCCCGATACCGGTGAGAATCTCTGTCACAGTAGAGGCCTGCAACATGATGGCAGAGCCCCACCCCAACTCTAAACCCTAGTTGAACCCTAAAACCCTAAACCCTAAAACCATAAAAACCCTAAAACCATAAAAACCCTAAAACCCCAAAGACCCCCCCCCCCAAAAAAAAAAAAAAAAAAAACAGAGCCCCGACCGCTCCGAGATGGGCACGTGGCGATGCGCTGTTGGGCGCTCCGCGACGTTCCATGGAGGAGGAGGATGCCGAAGTGTGGCGCTTAGCACTACCGTTATTATTATTATTAGTATTATGATTATTATTATTTTTCTTTTTATTATTATTACATTATTACTACTATTATTATTACATCTATATTACATATTATACGATTATTACCATTACTGTTATTATTATGATTATTACATATTATTACTATCATCATTATTATCATTATGCTTATTGTTATGACGCTGTGGGTAGAAGGGTTCTATACGCAGGGGCTGGGTAGTTAACAATTAGCCTTTGTGGTTATATGTATATATCCGCCTATTGCGACAACAAGAAGGTTAACCTTTGTTGGGCTAGGGTATAGGAGGGCCGGGTTGTTTTTGTTGATATAAATTGCGGGCCTGTCAAAAACCTATTTTGTAAGTGAGGCTTTACGCCTTGTTTTTTGACCGTGGACCCGACTCTGGATTTAGGATCCTGGGGGCTGCGCAATGGTTTGATCAGGGCCTAAACCCTAAACCCTAAACCCTAAACCCTAAACTCTGATCCTGGTCCTTGCCCACCTAATTTGCTTGGTCTTGAGAAGCCAAACCTGCAGCCCAAATCCCCCCCCCCCCCCCCCCCCCCCCCCCCACCCAAATAAAAAGGCCCAACCTGAACCCAGAAAGGCCTTCACCGCGAAAGCTGACACGTTAGGAAGGGAAGACCAATTTAGACAAAAAAGGGGGGGGGAAAGAACGGGTAATAGGGGGAAATGGGGGGGGCTAGAAGGTAATGGGACCAATGGGGTGGGGGGGAATCGGGGGCAATTAGACGGGGTACTCTTTGACTCCTTGACTCCAGTCATCTGCCTTGACTGCCTTGTGCGAGTCTGCGAGTACAAGTTGCCACCCTACAGTTTGGCATCCGCAGTCTAGGCTTTAGGGTTTGGGGTATAGGGTTTAGGGTTTAGGGGTTTAGGCTTTAGGGTTTGGGGTTTAGGGGTTTACGGTTTACGGTTTAGGGTTTAGGGTTTAGGGGTTTCGGGTAGACCGCGCCTGACGAGTGTCTCGGCTCTGGAGCAGTTCAGACAGATCGAGCGCACTGTTGAAAAGACTCCGGCGCGATCCAACATGGGCTGCAGGGCTCCCAGTTGCGCTGCGTTCTGGTTGTCGTTCCCTTCGTGTGTATTGTGTCATTGTTTAGTTCTGAAGTATATCTTGTTGAGCCGCGAATTAATAGTTTCGGTAACACGATTCGACTGATTGTTTGAATTTGCAATTCCTGGAACGTATCAAGAATAGCCAGTAGAGGGACAACGAGTACTGTGTAAATGCCATCGAGTGCCATCTTGCTTGTGATGCGGTGTAGCTTGCCAGGACAGTTGAAGCAAGAGCAGTCCGTTGGCGCACGTGTTTTGAGGCGGCAACAGCAAGGAGGAGTCGGTCAGGCCTCTGATGAAAGAGGCACAGGGTCCTGCCCTTCGAGACGCAAATCCTAAACCCTAAACCCTTAACTCTTAACCCTAAACCCTAAACCCTAAACCCTAAACCCCTTGCAGGCCTCGAAGTCAGAAGAAACCGCGGGCCTGATGGAGGCAGGGCTGCCGGGGGCATAGTTCCTGATCATCTGCCCTGAGCTTGGTGCAGACTTCAGCGCATTGCATTGTTAGCTATCGCTATGTATGTTTAGGTATATATATATATATATCTATCTGTATCTATATCTATATTTATATATCTCTCTCTATATATATATATATATGTATTTTGATATATGTATAGTATTTGTGATATTCTCCAAAATGTGTATTATTGTATATTTTAGAATATGATTAGATGTTCTTGTAGATGGCTATAGATTATCATATATTATGGTATATCTTCAGCACATGGATGTTGCAGGAGGGTGCCTCAGACCGGCCCGTCTTGGTTAAGTCCGAGCATCAAGTCCAATCCAAGACGGGCAACAAGGAGCCCCAAGGTGTTTGTAGGAACCTGTCACTTTCTGAGGGGGAGGGGGGGTTAGAGTTTAGGATTTAAAGGTTAAAGGGTTTAGGGTTTAGGGACTTTTTTGGGGGGGGGGGGGGGGGGGAGGTTTTAGTTTGTGCTTTTAAGGACTCGCTGTGTGGGAGTCCTTCAGGAAACCGCGACTTGTTGCACATTCACAGATGATCCGACGTTGTGACATGCCGAGCAGGAGACACAAAGAATCCTGAACCAGATCACACAGGGAGAGGACAGGGACATGTTTTGTTTTTGTGTGCATGCAGCAAACAGCTGCAACAGACCCGACAGCCGTAAGTTCCGGGCATTCTTCCAGGACTTTGAGACATACAAGTGGCGATGCATGACCAGGCCAGATCAGGCAGCTTGATGGTGCGATTGGCGGTTTAGGGTTTAGGGTTTAGGGGTTAGGGTCTAGGGTTTACGGTTTGTTTGTTCGAACTTGTTTGATGTGTTCACAACGACTGTTGCGTAAAGTTGCAGCCGGACCACCGTGAGCAGTCGCCAAGGCATACTACACCCTAAGCGGCTTTGCAAAGCTCGACATTGAAACTTGGTGCGCACGCAGCGTTCAAAAAGCTGGGTGCCTAGCCTGCGCCTAAACCCGAAACCCTCAACCCTAAACCCTAGACCCTAAACCCTAAACCCTAAACCCAGCCCAGATGGCCGAGCCTTTGTTGCAAGGACATCGTTGAGGCGAGGAAGTTGATTCCGTCCATCACAAGCAGCTTTGAGTCGTACACAGGTGCCTTGGAGCCGTCTGAGTTGGGTTTAGGGTTTAGGGTTTAGGGTTTAGGGTTTAGGGTTGAGGGTTTAGGGTTTAGGGTTTAGGGTTTAGGGTTTAGGGTTTAGGGTTGTTAAACATCGGGTGTCGGATGCCACACCAAGCAGGGTTACTTGCAGACGTCTGACACAAGGGGTAGATGAGATTGAAGTCTCCTCACATGGATGGGCTCCTCTTGCCTAGCCTGCTCACCTGCTCATGCGATTTGCTGACGGGCTTCACATACATGTCCCGAACAGCCTCAATGAAACCTTACAAGCAGCTGCCAGTTTCACCTCATGTGACGCCCCCAAGCTGGCGTCCGGCCACAGTTTTCAGCAAATCTGCAGGGTCTCATGTCTTTAAGGGTCCTTATGCTCGACCGTTGTCATGTGCAGCACCCTGGGCGCATGATGATCCTTGCCAGTGTCCTGAGGCGATGAACCAGATGGCTTCGTGAAGGTCTTTGTAGACGATACTTTCAAGTACTCCACACATTCCATCAACAACAACCGCTCCCCACAATGGAACGATCCACAGTCCTTCGACATCGTTGCAGATCTCAGCATCTAGGTCCGCCCTTGGGATTTCTTTTAAATGTCCCCTTTGAATTTGAAGTGGGTTGAAGAAGATGATGTTCCAAAATATGTTTCAGAGGGTAACCATCAAGTCTGCGGGAGCGAAGAAAGACCCTCAACCTACCCTAAACCCGAAAACATCTAGGTCCGCCCTTGGGATTTTTTTTTTGATGTCCCCTTTGAATTTGAAGTGGGTTGAAGAAGATGATGTTCCAAAATATGTTTCAGAGGGTAACCATCAAGTCTGCGGGAGCGAAGAAAGACCCTCAACCTACCCTAAACCCGAAAACATCTAGGTCCGCCCTTGGGATTTTTTTTTTAAATGTCCCCTTTGAATTTGAAGTGGGTTGAAGAAGATTATGTTCCAAAATATGTTTCAGAGGGTAACCATCAAGTCTGCGGGAGCGAAGAAAGACCCTCAACCTACCCTAAACCCGAAAACATCTAGGTCCGCCCTTGGGTTGTTTTTTTAAATGTCCCCTTTGAATTTGAAGTGGGTTGAAGAAGATTATGTTCCAAAATATGTTTCAGAGGGTAACCATCAAGTCTGCGGGAGCGAAGAAAGACCCTCAACCTACCCTAAACCCTAAACCCTAAACCCCAAACCCCAAACCCCAAACCCCAAACCCTAAACCCTAAACCCTACACCCTAAACCCTAAACCCTAAACCCTAAACCCTAAACTCAAGGCATGATCCGCGTGGCCGTCTTTGACTTGGATGGCGAGCCGGGCTCCAACCTTGAGGATGCCATCGGATTCGTGGAGTTTTGCATCGCGGACATTCCATTCGACGAGGAGGGTTTAGGGTTTAGGGTTTAGGGTTTAGAGTTTAGGGTTTAGGGTTTATAAGGTATAGGGTTTAGGGTTTAGGCGAGCGTAGACTGACTGGCTTCGTAGTAGGGAATGAGGGAATGAGGTACCCTATACAATCCGTTAAAGGCATATATATATATATATGTATATATATTGTATATATATATATATATATATTTTGTATATAGGTACTACGAACCAGGGAAAGAGGTACCCTATAGCATCCCACCCTGAAGGGTTAAAAAAGGGTAATGCTGCCCTTCGTATATACTCCCGACTAAGAACCAGGAGTAGAGCGTAGAGTGTTCCGTAGCATATATTGATACTGTTATATTGGTATTCTTAGTAGGTTGATATTGTCATCATTTTCTTATACTGCTAGTATAAAATCTAGAGTGCTCAGTAGCATATTACAAGAATCCTATTTTAGAAGTATTGGTATATTAACAGTATAGTTTGCATATTATTCGAGCATACGAATATTTATATATCTTCATGCCAGTGGTATATTTTCTTATTCTCATCATATGGTTCATATATTTCTGTATACTCGTATATATATATACATATATATATATGCAACAGTATTACCGATTATAGACTGTTACATGACAGAATCCACATCATTAGCCATAGAGCCTGTGAGCCCTCAGCGGCAGGAGATCGATGGATGGTTCGAGCTGCGCTTCCCGAACAATCTCCAGGGCATCAACACCGACCGATATTACGAGCACATGCACATGCGCGAGGAGGAGAGCCCTGGCTGCTTACGGGTTGAGGGGCCTGTAGGGGTTTAGGGGTTCAGGGGTTTAGGGTTTAGGGGTTTTGGGGGTTTAGGGGTTTAGGGGGTTTAGGGGTTTAGGGAGTTTAGGGGTTCATGAGTCCCGTCAGTAGCACTGGAAGCTTGTGCTGGGCAGTTTCTGGCAGCACCCGCGGGAGTCCGGATGCAAAATGGGGTTTAGGGTTTAGGGGTTTGGGGTTTAGGGTTTCGGGTTTGGGATTCAGGCCAGGGTTAGACGAGGGTCCTGCTGGCAAAAAGGGTTAGATTGTTAGACAGTTAGAAGACATTGGTCAGAGCCGGAGTGCTGCCCAATGAAAGCATTCAGCCTTCAAAAGCCAGAAGTGTTTCTCTTATATGGGGGTTTACGATAGTAGGGGTACCTTCTTGCCCCACATTCCTTCCTGGGAACACTGGCGAGCCCGACATTGCTGTTCCTTTGCTTCTTTCAGCCGCCCTCAGTTGCGCCTGCCTTTGGATAAGGAAGTGTCAATCTCGCCCAACCGAGCCACCGCAGAAGAAGAAAGGAAAGAAGGACGGATGTTTAGGTGCTTTGAAGTTGAAGTCGATGGTCAGACTCATCCAGGCATGAAGCTTGTGGATTGTGGGGTCTTTCTGGTTGCAATACCCTTTTCTTCGCGTCTTAGCAGAGCATGGACCATGCGCATCGAGAAGAGTCTGGAGAAGCTCATGCCTTGGAACACCCAAACAGGTATAGGTATAGATAATAGAGTTTAGAGTGTCGTTGGGATACCCAAAGCAGAGGGTCGAAGCCCGAAAACCCTCAACCCCAAGTTCGCAGCGCTTCAGCGCAAGCCATGAAGTGCGCAGGAGGACAACAAGAAAGACACGGCAGCGGAGGAGCTAGGAGACGAGACGTGGCGGAGATATTGAGAAGGCATGAGAAGCGGTCTTGCGTTGAGCGCAGAGTCTTTCCCAGAGCTGCAGTCGGAAGATGCCAGCAGTGTTTCATGGCCGCAAACTGGGTCACGCCCCTGGGTTCACAAGAAGCGCTCAGGACATTTACGTGCAGAGCTCGGCAAAAGTGAAGAGCGGAGTGATGGGACGAACGCTGAAAAGATTGGCCTTCATCGCAGCTGGCTTGAAGAAGTCTAGGGGGGTATAAGGTTGGGATGTTCCCCCTTTTACTAGGGATATAGTACCCCCCCCCCCCTCCCCCGATTAGAATCCCTACTAAACCCTAAACCCTAAACCCTAAACCCAAGAGGCTCTTTGTTTAACGGGGGGAGCATCCCACGGTGTGAGGTTTACTGTGAATCTGCTGTGATGCACGTGCCGCCCACCCGTCAACCGAATCCGATCCACTGAGACTGGGACGGGGGACAAGAACAATCCCGCGAGTGATGAGCAGTACAACGCCGGCGAGCGCTTCGGCCGAATTACACAAGTTCCATGATTCTGGGCTCCCGGGGTGTTAGAAGTGGTAGTCTTTGGCCGGAGATTCCTGGCTCTCCCGTTTGGTTCTCCAAAGTTCTGCCCCCCAAGCAGCCTGAGGATTCACCTGAAGCTGAAGCTCCGTCGCGTGGTGAGCGACAACACGGCTTTGTTTGCGAAAGCTTTAGTACCATCCTACATGACCTACGCCGCTCGCCTTTGCGAATTCTGGCTGGTTTCTTCGTAGGGAATGGGGGAATGAGGTACCCCATAGAATCCCTTAAAGGGTATATGTCTAGGGCCCTAACTCCCCCATACCCTAAACCCTAAACCCTAATTCCCTCATTCCCTACTGAGAACCAGGGGGAGTTGGTCCGTTGGAAGGCGGGGCGGTTTTAAGTTGTGCCCTCTTTAGTGTCCGGCCAGCCCCTCCCCCTGGAACAGTCGAAGCTGGTTTCGTCCCACTTTTAACTCGGGTTCTATTTGATTTTCAGGGGGGTGAGTTTATATGTAAGAGGGACAGAGTGGCCTGGCAATTGATTTGACAGGCGTGCCACACGAAATATTCTGACTTAATGCACCCGACACCCCCAAACGGCCACGCCCGAATGACCCGGCAAGCCTGACTTTGTGGGAGGGACCCCTGCTACAGCGGGTGCAACATTTCTTAGGTCATCTGCGGTCTTTGTTGAGCCCTAAAGCCTAGACACCCTCAAGCTCTGATCCGAAGCAAGCCATGATCCTTTGAAGAATGTCCCATCTGCAAAGGCCACCTTCATTCAGGAAGAGTTCTTGCCCAAGCTCGATTTGCAGGACGAGGGTCCATCTTAGGCGTGCAGGATGAGGGGCATACTGCGCACGTTTCGTGTGGTGCCCGCACGCGAGGGCCCAAAAACTGTGCGGTACGGAGAGTTCGAGTGCAGACCCTGATTCTTCAGGAGTTGCTGGATGACTCAATGGACATTAAGATCGAAGTCGTTGACGACATGCTGTTCGCCATGCTTGCATTCTTCAGTTGCTGGCCTGAGAACCCCGGGCACCCGGAACAAAAGACAAAAGGCGAAGAAGGGCTCCCTATTTCCAGGGTTTTTTAGGGTTTAGGGTTTAGGGTTTAGGGTTTAGGGTTTAGGGTTTAGGGACCAGACTCTACTTTATATGCGATGCTGTTGCCGTAAGGTGCCTGGGGGAGTTTGGGTTTATGCGACAAGGGCTTGGCTACTTGGGAACTCGACGGAGTTTCTATATTGTAGAGCACAAGAATCAGAGATAGCCCGGGTGTGGGTGTGTGTGTGTGTGTGCGCTTTATCTCCAGCTCTCAAAGCCCCAACCGTCGTGGGGAAGCTTGCGCAATGTGCCACGCTTCACTCGCCGCGTCTGTTTGTTGTAAAGGACAGACGGGCCAAGTTTTAGGTTTCGGCTTTCCTGGGTGCCGAAGGCCAGATGCTTCAATCTGAAGACAGGGCTGAGTCCCTAAACCTTAAGCCTTAAGCCCTAAACCCTAAACCCTCGCCTGCTTCGTCCGACCGTGAGCAATCAAACCCTACAAACCCTAAATGCTGTGCTCTAACAAAACATCTGATCTTGGTCTTAGGCTATGTTCTGGCTTGGCGTTCCTGGCTTCTCTCGGGCCTGCTCTTCATTGCTGTGGTGCTTCTCTGCTGCAATGTGGGGAGCTCCCTACAATAGGGTTAGGTTGATGAGAGATGATTAGAGATATTCTGCCGACCTTGCCGTTATTATGCCACATGTGTACCCTAAACATCCCTAAACTTTGGGGCCTAAACCCTGAACCCCAGAAAGAACCGAAGGTCTATGGCCAAGAACTCGATGCTGGCTTACGGCTTCTTCCACGCCTGGCTCGCTTTAGTGTTGATCTTGCCCCTCGTCTACACTGAAATTGAATGGGGGCTTCGCGCTCTGGTGGCAAGGTGCCCCATGGCAGGTGCAATTTTTTCAAGCTTCCTTTCTGCCGAAGTTCTCGTCATCACGCATCTGAGGTTGAAATCAGAGGACTGGCGCACCCGCATGTCAACAAATGGCATGAACGCGCCCCTCAACGAGGCCAGCTCGTTCAGGGTTTAGGGTTTAGGGCTTAGGATTTAGGGCAGTTGAAACAGCAAGTTCAATGTGGCGATGTTGAGCAGGATGGGCTGAAGCAAGTCGCGCGCTTCAACTCCACCGACGAGATGCATGTCTATCTGATCCGCACCTAGCCTGCGAATGCTGCGCGTACTTTTCGAAGCCTTTCCCTCGTGGGCTGGAGGAGGGAAGCTTGATGTGCCCCTAAGCGCTGAGCCTTAAGCAAGGGGGGGGGGCTCTGGCTTCCGCTTCGGAAGGTCTTGTGGGGGTTTGTGGGCGCTATATTTTGCCGGGTGGAGGTTGGGATCCGATGTCCCCAGAGTTTCAGTTTGCAGCACCACTTACCCGAAGTAACCTGACCCTAAGCCGTAAAATGCCCTAAAGCCGTGTGCGAGTGGGAGTGTCGAAGCTTCTTCTAAACAGCCCTGTCTTCAGGGCCCCTAACACAACGCATGAAGCCTCGAGCATCTCCTGAGTCTTCCGAGGTATGGTCCAGTCAAACTGTGGCACCATCTCCGGCTGGCAGGCACTGGTTCGGCATACATGTAGATAGATAGACTGGGCGTTCTAGCAAGGTCAGCTATCAGTGATATAAGAATTACAAGGGACAATGTTCATAATTCCTAAAGGAAGCTTCTGGGACCGTATGCTCCAGGCATTTGCCGGGCCGAACAGGTCGTCAAGGCATGCCCCAGCCCAAAAATCTCATGGCCGCCAGAAGGTGCTGGGGATCCAGGATGATCCCTTCCTAGGAAAGGTATATCCTGAGAATCCAAGAACACTGAACACAGTTTTAAAGCCATGTGGCAAAAACATGCTCAAAACATCTGTTATGGTTCTAAACTTCTTCACAATCCAAAGCACCCTAACCCTAAACCCTAAACCCTAAACCCTAAACCCTGAACCCTGAACCCTGAACCCTGAACCTCCTCTTCACTTCGTGAATCTGAGTGCTCGAGGAGCTGGTCCACTTTGCTGGAACGGTTGTACAAGGAGATGGGCAAGTTGACGTTACTTACGACCAACTCCTACAGGCGGCTGTGTTTTAGAGTTTAGGGTGGTCGAGACGTTTAGCTGAGGGACTGAAGTGAGTCGAGTGAGGTCTGAGGAAAGTGGCTCTCACAGCCCCTAGTTCTCCTCATCGTTTGGAGTTGCACGTTGGCGTTAATTCAAGTGGCTGTCGTGCGCCAGGCGCTGAAAGACCTGTGGTTCCTGGATTTTCCTACAGGACATGAGGGTGTGGCTCGCGTCAAACTGCAGCAAACGCCATCCCAGGCCGCTTCCAAGACATCACCATATAGATGATTTAGTAGTGCTTGTAGTTGTATTGCCATATTCATATGTGTTCTTTCGATCTTACATAGCTATGCTCCTGGCTATGTGGGGTCCGGATAGCCGCTCATGCACATTCGCAGGAAATCCAGTTGAAGTGGGTTCCCTGGTGCGCGTGCATGATAAGCGCCGTGGAACCGTGACCCGCATTGACCGCGCCAATGACAAGTGCCCTGGCGAGGTTCTGTTTCGGGTGGGGGCCGAGAAGAGGGCAAGGTAATGTTGTCACGTGTCAAGCAAGCGCAAGTTCACAGGACTTGTGCTTCTTACCTGTCTTGGTGTGGGCGATGTGGAAACAGCATGTTACTTGGACCTCCCTATGTCCAGAGAGTCGAAACACCCTGATTGAATGCACGAGCAGTCCTCATCTTGGCCAGATGTCTTGATAGACGGAAGACGGACCTGCTGGGTTTGGGGGCGCTAGGGTTTAGGGTTTAGGGTTTAGGGTTTAGGGTTTAGGGTTTAGGGTCTGCTTGCAATACAATACATGCTGGAACATTGGCAAAGACATTTCAGGGTGGAGGTGGACTTTGACGAGCCGCACTTCATGGACTCGAGAATGTTGCCTGGCAAGACTATGGCAACACTTGGGCAGACCCCCCCCCCCCCCCAGATAAAATCTAGATGAAATGACCATGTGATTGAATTACTTTCTCTATCGTTATCTGTTTGTATTGATATATTATTATATCTTTATGTACTATTGGATTATTACTATACAATGTTTTGTAGCTATTATTTTAGTACGCACATATGTGTCATGTCACGTTTCTGTTGCATTTTTTTGTTACATTGTCATATTTTGAGATTATAGCCTTATTGTACTATTTCTAGATTGTCATGAAATTGTACTGTATTGTTGTATAAAAGAACATGGTTATACTCGAATAAAGTCTATTGTCAGATGTTCACATTGCCTTATTATGCTTTTGTATCATGTTGTTACATTGTGGTATTTATAGTCATTATACTTACTATTTGATGTGAACACGTAGGAAAATACATATTTCATCTAATTACACGCGACAGGACCTTCGGGCTCTTTGCGCGTAGCCCATACTGAAGTGGCAAGTTGGAACATCTCGACGTTTGAATTATGGAACCCAGGCTGCGTGTTTTGTTTGATGACTGCAACGGTCTTCGCACCTAGAGTAGCCGTAGGTGGCCGATGTCTACACCGCGTTCCGGGAACCTTTCGCTTAAAGGGATTGAAATATAGCCATCCCAAAGGGATTCCGCTCACCACATGAAGTTTGTGTCGTCCTTGTTGTGTGGTCTGTGTGGAGCAACAAGCGGATGCTTGGGTCGTTGAGTGCATGTTGTGCTTATAAGGAGCACGACGGCCCACATGAAAAACGTCTCCGTGCGGCCTTATGCACCAGCCATCCCGCGCATCCTCGTGCCAAAGTCACTCCGTGGACTGGTGACGTCGATCCAGTTTCAGGCCTGACACCCTGGGTTTTTCGGGCTTAGGGAAGGTAATTAATGTCCGGAGCCCAGGGATAATTCCTCACAACTCTGCCGAACGACCCACAGCCTGCAACGACCCAAAGCGATGAAGTGCCATTCGAAGGAAAGGGTTGGTTGGATTTTGTGTCTGCGTCCCTCTTCTCTGTGTAGCGGCGATACCTCATCAGGATGCTATGTTGTGGGGTTTAGGGCTCAGGGATGATTTTGAAAGCCCAGAGGCAGTTCTCACAGTCATGTGTATTTCGGAGTCGACATGCTAAGCCAGCAGCAGGTGGAGTCGGTCAAGAAGGCGATACTTCCGGCCACGGAAGGAATCCGCGCTTTCTTTGTGTGGAAGCGACTTGGGCATTTATCTTTCAGGGTTTAGGGCTTAGGGGTGTACAGGGAGTGCAGTTGGTATTGCCCTCGCCACCAAGTACCATGAACCCTAAAACCTGGATCCTAGACACAAAACCTTTGTAGTACCTGGAAGGATGATGTGTTTTCGTAAAGCTTCATAAAGGCCGACTTGCCAAGTCGGCATTTTGCTTGTTATGGTGTACTTGTTCGTTGGTTTGGAGGTTCTTTTGGAGTTGGGGCGTGCGGCCTAGTGCAGTTCAGTCCTTGAGTTGTCTGCTGCACTGTTAAATGCATGATTCTTCGAGGGCTTCCGGTTGTCGGTTAGTGCGCTGCAATGCGCCGTGAGTGTTAGGAGGGACAGCAAAACAAAAGCTGTTTGTCTGGTTCGCCCAGATCTGCCGGGAGTGAGACACCTTAATGCCACATCGCATCGTTAAAACCTTAAACAGCCACATCCCGTTGTTGTGATTCCTTCTCCTCATCCCCCCCCCCCCCCCCCCCCACTGCTTGTGGCGACGTCCTGCTTGCGACCATCTACATCCGGGGGTCCCCAAAGACTTGCTGGTGCCTACTTGTAGTACGGTACGACCCCAAACCCTAAACCTTAAGCCCCAAAACCCCTGCTAAGAACTAGGAAGCAAAGCGAGCTGCTTTTTTGGAGACTTTGGGGGTGCGGTTTTCCCTGACTTAAGGCCATGCTATAGCTTGACACATCGGCAAGATCTTAGGGTTTAGGGTTTAGGCTTTCCTGCCCAGGTACCCCTGCTACATGGGCTTGGTGCTCACCTACCTGATCTTCCGTTCCTACGTTTCCTTTTACGCGTTTGCCGTCGAAGACAGCTGGTGCCACACAGCCATAGTCGTGATGACCTACCTGCGCCTCTCGATTGATATTGCTTCAGGGATGTCTAGTTGAGGACCTTCTGTCAGGGAAAAGCTTGCAATGCGTTTACCAGCTGTCAGCATGGGAGTTCGTAGGAGACGGGCAAGCTTGATGTGATTTGATGGGCTATTCATGTCCATGATGATATTTCCCGAATTACTTCTGTCATCATGGCCGACGTGGATGCGGATAGCGGAAGCTCTCACGGCTTACCATTAACTTGATAATTAAGAGCCAAATCTGCTTGACAGCCAAGGAAATGCGATTGGTGGAATTCTTGTCATCTTGGCCCCTTGGTTGCATCGCACTTTGGCACTTGTGACTTCTTCCCATGGTGCAACTCTTTTGCCTGGCACCCTGCTCTTTCAGCTGCTGCTTGTGATGCCAGTGCTCTCTGCCATCGCAGGTGCTCTTCGGCCAAGCGAGGATATTCAAGATTATTCGCGGGATTGGCCTCATGATTGCGTCCAAATGCTGCGACCGACGTAGGGCCTGGGGCTTATGATTTCAGCCGGGTACAACACATGGAACACATGGGCATGCAGCCAAGGCATTGGGAATAGGCTTGCTAAAGATGTGGCACGCTGGCGTCGCGAATAGAACGAATAGAATGGGCACCCCTGTGCCGGAGTATTCTTGCGTCGATCCATTCTTCTGAACCAATTATAACCATATTGGGGCACCTAAGGGGCTTCTAAGTGGGTTTTAAGTACAGTTCAAGATGATGGTCCATAAGTACCATGGACCTCCAAGTAGGGCGATCCACCCTGGCCTTCAGGCACCGGAATGCTGGAAGTTTTTCAAGCAGGCCGATGAGCCATACTTGAAGAAGACCCAGTGAGCTAAAGGCAGCTGACATCCCGCTGTTTTTGGCATCTCCCCCAAAATCCGGATCTCCTAAGATGCTCCCCCCACGACATAGGAATCTCCAAAAAGGGGTGCCTCCCCCGCCCCCCCGCCCCCCACCCCCTAAACCCCAAACCCTAAACCCGAAACCCTAAACCCTAAACCCTAAACCCTAAACCCTAAACCCTAAACCCTAACCCTGAGAAGTCCGGCAAAGCCGGGCCGGCTTTTTTGCCAGGATTTGGTGCTCCTTTGGACCAGAGATTTCAAGCAAGTCGTAGCTTTCTGGAAGCTTTTTCCCGCTCCACAACAATCCCCTGGTCCTGGAGTTTGTTGGGCTTGCTAGAGCCCGCAACACTGAGAGTGCGAACCACGACATTCTGAACAATTCGGAGTGGTGGGGGTTGTTCGATCTTAAGTCTAGGCTCCTTTTTTTCTAACTCTTCCGCCTTCGGGGCGAGATCCTACAGTACTAGTCAAAGCCCCCTGCTAAGGCGACCCTGCCTTTGGAACAACCCCCCCAGGGTGTGGTAGTTTACCAAGCCAGGCGGCTTCAGAGAGACTGGCCGGGGGTGGAGGGTAGCTCAATTCAGGTTTATCAGTGCAAGCCTCGCTCTTCTGGGTTTTGGGTGTGGGGTTTAGGGTTTAGGGTTTAGGGTTTAGGGTTTAGGGTTTAGGGTTTAGGGTTTAGGGTTTAGGGTTTAGAGTTTAGGCTTCTGTTTTTGACATGTGTCGTCTTTGTTATCCTCAGAAGGGAAAGAGTGGTTTTCAGAATGTCCTTGTGTCTTCTTGTGGTTCTGGCTACATTAAAATCATTAAACCCTAAACCCCAAACCCTAAACCCTAAACCGACTAGGGACGCAAAGCACCCTCGGAGCTTCCATTGTTCAATGCCACCCGGCCTGGCCTCCAATCCGTGCTGCATCTGCACCAGCGACCCACCAGCTGCAACTGTTAAGCATGTGGTAGTGTTTAGGGTTTAGGGTTTAGGGTTTAGGGTTTAGGGTTTAGGGTTTAGGGTTTAGGGTTTAGGGTTTTAATTCTTTCGGCGCCAACGGGAGGGGTTAGGGTTCAGGGTTTAGGGTTTTGGGGCCTTTGTTTGGGGTCGAGGGTTTAGGGTGTAGAGTTGTGGATGAGGAGCTTGAGCTAAGATACCATAGAGATCATCAGCATATTTGTCGATGAGTCATGAGAAAGTTGGAGCTGCGATGTTCAGATAAGAAGTTCAGAAAGAACGGGCAGCTCTCTAGATCATGGTCCCCTTTAGGGTACCCCCCCCCCCCCAAAAAAAAAAAAATAATAATAATAACAAGGCTCCGCATAATCCTCACCTAAACCCTAAACCCTAAACCCTAAACCCTAAACGGGACCCTCATTTGGAGAACTGCCCACATGTGGGTGGATGTCCCGACAAAGCTCCGGCATCCTGTTCCGCTTGATATCGGAACTGCCAGGCGTGGACTTCTTAAGGGTTGAGGGGTTTAGGATTTAGGGTTTAGGGTTTAGGGTGTAGGGTTTAGGGCTTACCTGGATGCAAAAGGGTTTAGGGTTTCGGGTTTCGGGTTGCATCGTCCAGCCCTGACCCCGAAGTTCTTCGCCCTACATCCTGGGCCGCGTGAACCCGCGCATAATGAAGCCCGAAGATCCTCAAAACCCAGCTTGGATGGTGAAACCCTACCCTAAACCCTAAACCCTAAACCCTAAACCCTAAACCCTAAACCCTAAACCCTAAACCCTAAACCCTAAACCCTAAACCCTAAACCCTAAACCCTAAACCCTAAACCCTAAACCCTAAACCCTAAACCCTAAACCCTAAACCCTAAACCCTAAACCCTAAACCCTAAACCCTAAACCCTAAACCCTACTCCACCTGTGGTTGACATTCTTGGCACTCTTTTGCGCGAAATCTTGTTAACAAAAAAGCGCCATTAGAGGGAGTAGAGTCCAAAGGTTGTTCCTGCATGATCAGGAGCTACTCTGATCAGAAGTCTGGTCACGCCTTGTTGTTGCAAGAAGAGCACCGACACAGCGAGCTTTGTTGCAGTTTCAAGGCATCTGCAAGAAAGCGCAGGCCTTAAGAGCCACAGTGGTCTAGGGCCCTCTAGGGTGACCTGCTTTTTTGCAACTTGAAAGGTTTTGCAAAGGATGTGGCCCTCTTGCGCTCACGATTCCTTGACGCTTCAGGCGCAGATGCTGAAGATGACTTGCAGGATGTAGAGACTCAGTATCACTTCCGGTGAAAATGACCTGTTGCATTCCGTCATCGACCTGGTGCCATTTGTGTAGAGTGTTGTGTAGTACGCTTTCCTTCTGTGCGTGCAACTAGCAAGGAAGCAGTTTGTCACGCAGATAGTCTGGGGATCGTATTCGTATTGCTCAAGTTGAATCTTCAACCCGCCTTCATCAGCCACATCTCAAGCCAAGTCGCGAAACCCCTGTTGGTGTGAATCGAGGTGGCCCTGGCCGCTGGGAACATCCTTTTCTCAGGGTACGTGAACCCATGCAGATTCTCGGCACAAAAGACGTCATGCGATGAAACCTCCTGCCACCAGAAAGGTGTTTTCAAGGGGCCCTTGCCTGGAAAACCTCGTGCGCACTACTCTGCTGCAACTACTGTGATGTCCTTGTGGGCTGAAAACTGAAAATCAGCGCTGAAAAGTTGAACAGCTTCTGGCCACAATCCCTTCAGCTCTCTCATGTGCCTCATGTGACCGATGTTCCTGGTAACGTCTAACGTCCGCAAGGTGCTGTTTAAAGCAGGCAAGTACACCGTTCCAGGTCTAGCTTTGAAAGTAGCGAGCCTTCCTTACGGAAGGGCCCCTCTATCGTTTTGCAACCACTTGACTATCTTGCCCCAGGATACATTGAAGTCCACCGGCGTTCGGTGGGCATCAACTCTTTCATCGAGTATCCAGGTCCGAACATGCCCACATGCCCCCCCCAACCCCCCCCCCCCACCGCCCCCGCCGTCCGCAGTTTTGTCCAAGTCGCTCCCTGGCATGTATAGGCAGTTCGGGTCGGGCCTGATATGGCCTGATGTGAGAGCCCGCGGCTGATGTTCGTGATGCTTGGCCTGGGGCGGGCCTGATGTGAGAGCCCGCGTGGCTGATGCTCATACTGATGTGAGAGGGCCCGCGGCTGACGCTCATGATGTTTGGCCCAAGGCCTGGTGTGCGAGGGCCTACCCATGCCTACCCCAAATATAAAAAACCCTCATTGAGAGAACCCAGCAGGTGCCGAGACGCATGACGATATCCAGAAGCTTGTGCAACGCTTCTGCAGCCACCCTTTGGCTTGGCAACCGCCCTGGTGGTTGGAGAACCTGCAGCGCCTGCACCTCAGAGTACCCGGACGGGCTATTATACCCTATAACCCCTTAAAAAAGGCCCTTCATCGGGTTTTAGGGATTCTAGGGCCTAATTGCCCATCCTGGTATGGGTGTGGACTGGCACAGGGCGGACGAGCATGCCCGGAAAAATAGGTCAGGTTGTCATTGCACACGCACACGAAATGACACTATAGCTGCTTCCAGTTAGGAGTCCACTTGGGTGGCTACACCAACCCCAGCCCCCCAGCCTAACTATGGATAATAAGGCCTGAGTGATACTTATGGGAAAAGGACTCCATAGGACCGCAGAAGTGAGAGCTTGCAGTGCTTCCCCTGAAGCTTAAACAAACACAAACGCGCCTGGTGCCCGTGTAGCGAAAGCTCAGGGCGCCGCTTAGCCAGCCGGTATGGCCAGGCTCGGCTAGTCTTGGAGGGCCCGTCCTGTGAAGGATCAACAAGCTGTCGATCCATGGGTTCGCCTCCCCTAAACCCTAAAACCCTAAACCCTTGCCGGCCTTGTGCGAGACTGAGCGACTAAACCCTAAACCCTACCCCCTAAACCCTAAACCTAGAACCAACCAAGCCCCCCTAAACCTCTCAAACCTACTCTTGCCCACCCTCGGATCGCAAAGTAGTGTATCTTGTTTTCCTAGACGTGGGGACCAGGTCGTTGATGACTTGCCGTTGGGCTTTTGATGTGGTTCATTGCTGGCAGCCTTTGCGGGCGCTTTTGGGAGGGGAGGGGGGGGGCCTCCGATCACCCGAACTATTCCAGGATGCTCGCGGATTACGTCCTTGAACCATTGTTTTGTGTCTTTTGTTTTGCGCGGACCGTTTCTTAATTTTTGCCGATGAATCTGGATGCAGCCACGGTACAGAGAACGAATGAGAATGTTGAGTTCTAGGCCTTAGGACTCCAGGACATACCTTCGCTGGGTCAGGGTCCTCGACCCCGAAACTTTGCATTCTTCCGGGCAACCCCTAAGCAATAGAAGGGGAAGCGTGGCATAATGGTGAACCCCCATACTACATCGGGGAAACAACCTCTTCATTCCACCCACCGAGGGGGGCGGACTAATCTTTTGTTTTGTCAAGTGGTGGCCACGCAGACTTAAACAAAAGCTGCAAGAAGCAGAACAATAGCAATCATAGTAGTACTGCCAAGTTTTGAGTAAGACTCAGAGGTAAGTAAGAAAAATACTAGTAACATCCATAAGGAGAAAGCACCTCAGTTGCAACTGCAGTAATTATAATGATAGTAGTAGCCATACGAAGAAAGTACCTTAATGGCCATTATAGTAATACTAAAACTAGGAGTAGCCATACGAAGGCAGTACCTCAACTGCAATTATTATAGTAATAATAATAATCATAATGCTAGTAATCGCCATGCGAAGAAAGTACGTCAATGACCATTACAATAGTAATACTAGTAAAAGCCATAAAGAAGGTACCTACCTTGATGGAAGTTCTAGTCATATTACGAATTCTATAGTACTAATTCTCGTAGTAACCATAAAGAAGAAGGTACCTTCAAAGTCATCGGTTCAACGGGCCTTAAAGAGACCGACCCCCCAGGTCCTTAGTAGGGAATGAGGGAATTAGCGCCCTATACATATATCTCCTTCAAAGGATTATATAGGGTACCTTAATCCCTCAGTCCCTACTAAGATATATACATACATATATATATACACACATATATATATACCCTTTAAAGGATTCCATTAGGGTACCTCATTTCCTCATCCCCTACGAAGAACCAGCCAGCCGACGCCAGGCCCACTGCAGTGGGTCGCTTCGGTCTTCGGCCTGGCGCAGCGGCAGCCGCGGGGTTCTGACATGGGGTCCTGTGCTGTCGAGATATGTCGGGCAGATTATCTGTAGAACTACATGTATGTATACATATATATATAATGTGTATGTGTGTAAGTATATCAGAATTTGTTTTGGGGTATAAGTGCATGTGAATTAAGTTAAGGGGATACTAGTGGATTTGTAAGTATGGAAGCTTCAAGAAAGTTCCCGGCAGCCCGCGTCGCACACGATCTTGGAGGAGCGTCTGACAGAACTGAGGCAACGTGGCCGACTTGCTCGGCGACTTTGAGAGTGTCGGAGTCCAGCTGATCTTGGCGGGCATACCGAGCCATGGTTGGCACTGTAATCCTTTACTGGGTAGCTTTGGGCTCCTCGGGGTCTAGGGTTTTTAGGATTTGTCAGGGTATAACACGATGTTGACAGTGGTATAGAGCCCCTTCTGCTTGCAACAGCTTCTTGCAGGATCTATGGATACTTCCTCAACCTGGGTGCAGCGGATGGCATATGGTCGGATCCGCTGTTTTCCTTTACCCGCAATGGTGCTAGAGGTGGGTGTTCACAACTCCAGACAGACCCAGAACGTGCAAAAACCTAACAAGCCTCGAATGGTATGCAGAAACCGTCAACACAACGAGTTAGCTGTAGTGCACGCGCAGTGGGCAACCGATGCCAGTCCAAGTGTTAGTCTGGTCTTTTTGGGGGAGATCACGTCAGTACTGTTAATGGCATGACATGACGGAGATGTGGATGCTCTGCTCGACGTCAGTCTCGGCCTGCAGGTGTGGCCGTGGAGATGGATCCTGAATCCTGCGCGCGCTATCGCAGAAACTTCCCGCAGGTCAACCTGTTGTGCACAAGGCGCCGTCTGAGCTGCTAGGAAGTCGTCCCTTAAGGGCCTCCAAAGAGCCCCTGAAGACTCGAGGATCCTTGAAGGCTTCTGAAATATCCATGCGGATGCCCTCATTATGCACTGACAAGGCTGACCATGGACACAATCCCGGAGCTGGCCAAGCAGGTTGAATTCGGCGGATATGATGTGATGAAAGCCGCGCCCACAGTTTTGCGCGTGAGGAGCGTGAGGGGCAGGGAGGGGAGAGAGAGAGAGAGAGAGAGTGGCAAAGTTCGCAGAAGAAGAATCAAAAGACCCGTGACCTCAGGTGCCCAGAGAGCAAAAATAGAAAAAGAGTGTTTTTGGGACGTTGGATTCGCAGAACAACGTGGCGTTCCGTGCGCCACCCGAAGACGAATCCCTCGGATGCGGCCATCCTTTCTGTATCTTAGGGATTCTTGGGAATAGGTTTTAAAGTTTCGGGTCCTGCAATTCCGAACTGAAACAGCTGTAAGTCGTATGATTGTTGCCATGCATCCAAGCAGGACCGGGAGACAGACGGGCTTCGCCCCTCAAGCCCCCAGAAAGAAAGACAGAAAAAGCAGAGAGAGAGAGAGAGAGAGAGTCGGGCGCGCCCAGTGCGTGGAAGAAGAAGAAGAAGAAGAAGAAGAAGAAGAAGAAGAAGAAGAAGAAGAGAGTCGGGACGAACCCGAGTCTGGGGAGTAAGCATCATTCGATGAAAAGCCCACGCTTGTGTGGTCAAGGTCATCCTTCTCTGTAGTGCACAGTGTGCTTACATCCCCCCAATGATCCCCTCAACATCCAATGTGCACGGGTCGTAGGGGGGGCGAGAATAGTTTTGCAGGTGACCCGTGTTCCGCCTTCCTGCAACCCAGAAGATAGATGATCATAGAGGAGAGGGTATACTAGTAGAGAACAATAGTTATCAGATGGATCTGGAATTCGGAGTTGAGTTTGTTCGGACCTTGAGGCACACTGAGGCCTCAAGACAGGCTCGATTGGAATTCTCCCAAAAACACACACTGCGCGTGGGTACACACCGAGGTCGACGTGGATTCGTACGACTGCGCATTGGTCTGGGAGCTGTTGAAGCGCTTTCATCACCGGCCCAGCTGCATCCTCCTTGAGGTGAACAGCGCGTTCCCCCCTCCTTTTGAATCTCAGTGTTGGTTAGTAGGGAATGGGGGCATAGGTACCATATATAGTCCCTAAAACGGTATATATGGGGGATATATGGTACCTGATTCCCCCATTCCCCACTAACCAACAGTAAGGAATTTGCCATGGAGCCGCATCCGGCTTGGGACACTATGGACCCAAAGTTGGTCCGATATCACTTGGCACACGGCTCCTTGGAACAAATGGGGGTTTACGAAAATAAGGGACCCCTAGTACTTAGTATAGACCCCCAAATGGTATGATCCCCTTATCATAAGGACCCCAATAAGGCACCCCTAACATCGTAAACGCCCAAATTACCTTCCATGTCGTTCCTTTGTATGCGGAGCAGCGTCAGCAACATGAAGTCAAGAATGCGGCTGCGCCGTGCTTGGAATAGGTTGCTCCCTGAGCTACGCCATACGGATGCTATCCGTCGAGCTGCCTACGCCAAACTATGTCCTGCTCCACATGAGCAAGAAGGACATGAGCCTGAACCCGAGCCTACCAGACAACAGGTGTCCTCCCAACCCCGCCCTCGTCAAACATGATTAAACCATACTGTACTTAACTGCACCCAAACAAGCCATAAAGTGAACCCTAAGTAACCCTCAAGAAATCTTCGTACGCCCCATAAGCCAAGGATCTGACACCAAAAAATAAAGCCTCAGAAGACCCCATAAGCCAAGGCTCTTGTTGTGGCCCCTAAACCCTAAATCCTAAACCCTGTACAATACTGTTTTCAGTCTGCTTGGTTGGGGGTTTTGGTGACGAGTGCTTGGGGACTTGCTGTCCACGTCTGGAGTGAGACTACCCTCGCGCGTGCGTGTGAGAGCCGAAACCCGGAACCCTAAACCCTAAACCCTAAACCCTAAACCCTTTTGACGACCTGTACTTCAACCGCCAATTCCCTGCAGAGTGTCCGAGAGGTCAGCTAAGCGGGTGGCAAAAAAAACCCTAAACCCTAAACCCTAAGCCCTAAACCCTAAACCCTGCAGGATGCACTTTTCCTCCGCAGGGATGTGGCCGCCAAGCTGGTGGGATCCGATGAGGCCCCGGACGAGTTCCGCTGCTACGAGGATGCCGGGCTCGGCGCCCGCGTTTCTTGTAGGGTTCGGGTTTATAGAGGGCTTGGGCCGAGAGTTGGCCAGTAGTCCGCAGGAGAGAGAGAGAGAGAGAGAGAGAGCGCGAGAAAGAAGAGAGAGAGAGGGCGGCTTTCCCGCTCCTCTGATGTTGGGCTACTGTGGATCCCGCCTGCCTGCCCGTCGTTGCGTCGCTCTCTCCCTCTCTCTGCCTCTCGTCCCCTCTTCCCCCTCAGCCTACAACCCTCCTTTGCCTTTCTGCTCCGCTATCAGGCTTCAGTCGAGGAGCACGGTTTCCCCCCCTTCTTAAAACAAGTCCTCGCCGCCAGGCAGTAGCTCCGTCGGAGCACTACGATGAATCAGTTGTGATGTTTCGCACAGCACCAACACTAATACGAAAATAGACTGACAAGGGCTCCGGCGTTTGCTGGGTTGCTGTTACAAGTAACTTGAATCAGCCGCTTAGCCACTTGCCACAATGCAGGTGCCCTTGTTGAGCTAGCTTGTGTGTAAAGCTGCGGGATAAGAGCCACTAACTTCAAGTCATTCAGAAGGATCAACTCCTTGAGACCCATGGCGACGCCATGACGCACTTCAGACTTAGCGGGGGTTTAGGGGTTAGGTTCATGGCCCAATGGCTTAGTATTGTTTAGTAGGGAATGGGGGAATAAGGTACTGTACCATATATCCCCTACATACCCTTTAAGGGCTTACATACGATAGCTTATTCTTGTTTGGTGGCAGCGCCAATGGCCAGAGCCTTTGTGTCGTTTAGGGGTCGGAGTGATTACTAACAATATTCCCTTAGGGCCCCTTTAGAATCATACTATACTGATAACCCCCAAAACCCCTATTCTTACCATTAAGGCCTCCTTAAGTACATGATCTGATCAAGGTGGAGAGCGATCGGCTTCGCCGATGGTACTATGGCATCCAGGAGCTCCATGCGGGCACAGACATCATGAGCCTTGGGGGCGAAATGAAGCCAACAAAGGGTTTTTGTTTCATATACCCTAATGGGAATGACAGTAGGATATGGTATATGACCCATTATGACCCCACTTTTAGGGTTCATGTACCTTAATGGGAATTAGAGTAGTGTAGGGTATATGACCCATTATGACCCCCAATTTTAGGGTTCATGTACCTTAATAGGAATTAGAGTAACAATAGGGTATATGACCCCTTATGACCCCGATTTTAGGGCTCATGTACCTTAATAGGAATTAGAGTAATTTAGGGTATGACCCCAATTTTAGGGCCCATTTGGTCCCAAGGAGTGAGGAGGAGGTGCTGCAAGACATGCGGCAAGTGGCATCTCGCCTTGGAAGGAGCAGAGTTTTGGAGGTTTAGGGTTTGGGGTTTAGGGTTTAGGGTTTAGGGTTTAATTAGGGTTTAGGGTTCAGTCCGTGCTTAAAAGGGTTTAGGGGATCGCCGACATCTCCAGGACTCCTGTCTGCTGCACCAAAGCCCCCAACGCTGCAATTAAGGTCAGGAGCAATATCGCCAAGGTGTTTGGAAGAGGACGGTCACCCACTAGATCCCTTGCTTTGTGAGCTTGTTTAGAAGGTTTGGCTTCTTTTGTGCGTGTAGATCGCAAAATCATGCCTAAATCGATTGGGTGAAATGGGGGTATTTCAACCTTCCCTTGCTTGGAATGTTTGAAATTGGGCTGCGGAACCGACCCTGACAGGCCTAGCGGATGTCATTCCCTTCCAGCTGACATTTAGACAGCACAATGTCGCTCCGATGGAGCCGGGTTTCCTTATGGAATCTGCCAAGAAGGTCTACTCGTTGGTTCAAGATCTTGGCCACAACTACCTTGTTTTTAGAGATATGGTGGACACGATGGTTCCGCAGCAAAAAAGGGCGTCCGATCAGCATCATGGCATTGCGCGTTAATTTCGGCCTTTGTGTCGTGCATATGCCCTAACATCCCTTCAGAGTCCCGAATTGGTCCCTTATTCTGCGGCTTCGTGATTGTTTGGAAGCTTAAGGCTTTTTGGCTTTAGGTTCATAAGGTGATGAATTGGTTTCGAGGTTGAGGCACGGGGTTTATGTGCTTTGTGTTTAAGGTAAAGTATTCGAGATCTAAGCAGAGAACCTTCAGAGTTGTGTTGAAGTTGAAAGTACAGCACCCACCCCCCTCCCCCCCAAAGCATTCTTGAAGGCGGATCGGAGTCCAAGAAGGTTATAGAATTCCACACTAGTGATGCGCTGGCCGGTACGATCGGTTTGTATTTGGAAAATGTGATGTGGAGAGAGAGAGAGAGAGAGAGGGAGAGCGAGAAAGACAGCACATGGAAAGGTGTTTTTCGTCCGGATCAGCAATGTTGTAGGTAGATTCAGGTGTAGTTTTGTTTAGATGTTTAAGACATTCTTTGGGACTGAGGAATTGGGATTCTAAATTACTTAGACGCTTCTATTCAGGGAACATCAGACTGGTAATATGAATTGCTTCAACTTATAGAAGTAAGCTCGAGAGCTCACCTCCCCATATGAACCCCAAACTCCCCAAAGCCTCGAAACCCCTTCTGCCTGGCAAACCATTCTAAGGTGCTGGTGTTGCATCTGGAGGTACCTCAAGAATTTTAGAGTAGGCATTGGCGGATGTAGGCTTCCAGGCGAAAAGTTCACCTCAGCTGCCATGGTCTCGTCTCTTTTGAGTCGCGAAGGCAAGCGAGGCCTGACTCACACAGATTATCTTGGGGGCGGAAAGCACCTAAACATGCTCTTGCATGGCTGGACACTGTTGAGAGGGCCCGACTATGAACCTTAACCAGCTACGCACCACCAACGGAGCAAGGTAATTGAAAGGCTGACATGGCCAAAACCACCAACACAGTCCTGACTTGCGATTTGGTAGCCAACTATCTGCTAGGCCTGGTGCGACACCAGGGGACACCTGGGAGGAACCTTACACAGGTGCGGCCTCATCAATCCTCGATGGACAAGAGGAACCTGGGCTCCCAGAACCACCGAAGCACACCATTTTTTCGAGATTTCTGAGACTTCCAAGATACTTCTAAGGGCATGTCTGAAGGTATTAGCACCGCTATCACCTCAGAATGCGCAGAACCCTCAATGGAGCCGGGCCTAGGTGATGGAGCTGCTGGTACCGGCCGCTTTCAGCGCCAGAGTCTTTCTTGGCTCTGCAATTTTTCGGGGGGTGCAGTTTTTGGGGTTCGTGGCGTCAAGCCTCAAGAACTAGGACCCGGAACTTCGAGCTGGCTTGCGGACTCTCTGAGCCTTTGCCCAAAACCCACTCTGCCTCGGCAGACCCCGGGCTGCGGCATTGGGCCCGCTGGCAGATTGTGAAAAACGGCGCGTGCTTTGTCTGTGCGCTTGTGTTGGTGAGATGAGTCTGGGACATGTGCGAAAGGCCATGCTTTTGTGGTTTTGATGCTCGAGGGCCTGAACCGTGCTCGTCCTTGCTTGAAGGACCACAGTAAAGTAGGCCCATGGTTTCTGCTCTTCTTGCACGCCTCGTAGCCGTGGAGCTTTGCTGGCGTGCGACCAGCTCTGGGTTCACATGCGGGAATGGCTGCGTCATTTCGTCTTACGCAGTGAACGACGCCACTTGCGATTGCACAGGCTGCGAGGATGAGAACGTGTGGACGTGCGCGTCGTGCGCTGGTGGCTGCCCATCTTCGTGTGGCAGCTTCACGTATTGCATCTCTTACGCCCCCAGCCCATCCCCAAGACGGGCCCAAAGCCCATCCCCAAGCCCATCCTACTCACGGAACACTTCGAGTTCCTTCGGCCTCATCGTTGGGATCGTCGCAATCTTCATGGGCCTCGTCTGTCTAGTTAGTGGGATGGCCGTGTGCATAAAGATGAGCGAGGACTCGGGCACCAACTCTGCGAAGTCGGGTCTGCAGGCCGTGGTCATCGGAGGCCCTGCCAAGGTGAGGAACTTTGGCTCCCTGCAGCTGGTGCCCTTATCCGAGGAGGCCTTCTCCATCGTGCCCGGCTATTGGGCCAGGAGTGTCGGGAATCTAAAAAATGCGGACAGTGCTGAGTGTTGCTACCACTCGGTGCCCAGAGACCGGCTTTCGTTCGATGAGCTCTTCTACGTCAGCTTTGAGAACATCCAGTATTTCCAAGCCCTCATGGACCGGACCTACCGGCCCATCGCCACTCAAGATAGGGCCTGCCCCACGAAGGCCCATGTTAAGACACCCGGGGGCTGCCCCTGTGTGCGTCCAGGGGGTGTTCCCGGGCTGCCGACGGGATTCCAGGTGAAGCGGGTCATCCGGGTCGAGGACTCGGAGATGTTCAATCGCTACATCACCCGGCGCGAGCAGATCAAGATGCGCGGCTCATGTGCACCACCAGACCCAGCCTTCTTTACGAGCGAGGTGGGGGGGGTGTTCGAAAATCAGGGAACCCTTTGTAACATAGACCCCCAAATAGTCGGATCCCCTTTGTCATCAGAGGTAACCATATTTCCGGAAACCCCCCCAGAGGCGATGACTGATGGCAGCATGGACTCGGTCTTGGGTGAGCTGAGCACCGACCTGAACGAGGTGTACCTTTGGCATGGCACCCAAGTGCGAGCGGGCCTGCGGATTGCTCAGGACGACTTCAAGATGACTTTTGCTGGGTCTGGTGCAGGGACCATGTATGGTAAAGGCTTCTACTTCTGCGAAAGCTGCTATACCCCCCTTGGGCATTTTTTTTATTCCTGTTTATATTAAACCAAAGAGGATATTAAAACAGATATTTTTATTCAGGTTCTGAGGGGAGTATAGGCTGCACCAAAGCAGATGAGTACGCGGAAGATGAGCCAGGCGGCTACTACAAGGGCATGCGCGCCCTTCTTCTTTGCCGCATTTGTGTGGCCCGGCTGTCTACATCAACCATAGCCCAAAAACTCATGTCTCCCTCCCTCAAGCAACTTAGTGGGGGTTTCGGGACAACTTGAATCAAAATTGAGAACATATGTCCGGTTTTGGAGCTTTGGCCTGCAGCCTTGAAGGCTGAAGGCTTCAAGCTTCAGATCTGATAAGGGTGGGGGGGGGGGAACTTCATGTCGGACTAGTTGATTATGGAGTTTTCAAAACATCTCGGTGGAAGCGAACAAAACAACACTGATAGGAGTGTGGAGGTATACGAAAGTTGGAGTACCTTATTGGGGTCCTTATTATAAGGGGATCCTACTATTGGGGTCAATTCTTAGGGGTCACTTATTATCGTAAACCCGTCCAAACAGGGGGACCAGGGCAAGCAAGATAGACTATGGAGCTTGCTATCTAATTTGAGCTTGTGAGGTTGGTAAGTTCCACTACACATTGGACCGAGAGCCCACGGCCATCGACCACTTCCATTCGGGAATCACCGACAGCACGATCGGAGACCGCGCCAAGTCCGTAAACACCTACCGGGAGGTGGCGATCTACGATGCAGATCAGGTCTATCCCGAGTACCTGGTGATATACCAGCGCCTGTTCCAGGGAGAGACCATTCAGCCTCTCCAGAAGGAGCTGCCTTTCCTGCTGGAGAATCCGCTCTATTGGACCAACGTCGGCAAGAACCCCTTCCAAGAGGGTTTTCGAGAGCATTGGCTGTAAAGCAGGAGATCAAGGATCTTATCCAGAGATTGGCAGATGGCTCCTGCAGCGGAGAGCTTCACCAAGTTAATCAAGTGCACCGTGTGGAGGACTCCGGGTTATGGTGCCGGTATTTAAGATGGAAGCGGCGAGTGAGCGCGGGCGGAGAAGCCTGTGTGCCACCCAACGAACTGGATGGGAATCCAGAGAGCGGGCACGTCCTCACCGACAAGATTCTGGCGGACTTCCATGGGGATGAAGCCATTAGTGTAGAGAACATGACCCCGGGTCTCAACGAGATGTTGCTTTGGCACGGGACCTCCGCTGAGGCAGCAAAGGCCATTGCCACCGACGGGTTCTTGATTACATCCTCTTTCTCCCATGGCCGGCGCTTCGGCCATGGTGTGTACCTTGCAGAGGACCTGAGCAAAAGCTTGTCCTACTGCAAAGAGTCAGATGGGATTTACTATGTGCTTCTTTGCCGAGCTACATGTGGGCATATCCACTACACCGAGAAGAAGCATGCTCTTGAAGCGCATGTACATGCCAAGAGTATGGGGAAGACTTGTGTGCTGGCCAATCCTGATAAGAAGGGGCCCAGGGAGTACATTCTTTTCAGCGCAGATCAGGTCTATCCAGAGTACATCGTCGAGTTTGTCCCTAAGGGAAAAGCCAAATTCACTGATATCTTTGTTCCGGAGATGGAAGATGACAGATGAGACACGTAATCTGCGAAACAACACAGCTGAATCCAAGATGCGGGAATGGACTGCATCCATCAGCGTGAACGCCGTTTCAATCAAATTACCCGTTATGAACTCTTCCAAGAAGAGTGCAAAATTCTGCAAACGGAACAGCGTTTGCGACCCCACATCCTCACGCAGGCTATTGTCGCCATCATCGATGTCCACTACGACACAGAATATGACGGTGATAAAAACAGAAATGCTACAGACTCCACAGGACCCTGACCAAAAAGCCCTTGCATAACTCCAAAAAGGATCAACAGCACAAACCTTTGGAGTGGTCGTCATAGCAACTAGGCACGCGCCTGCAGTGCGATCAAGGCAGAAGCAATTTGAGCGAATTCCCTGCAGCCATTTGCAGTTTCAAGACCCGGTTCGGGGCGCTGTCGCCGTGATGAGGCTGGCGGCAAGTTGCTCCCGTGATCCAGTCCTTGCCTGTGAGCCTTTCCAGGTCCTTGCACTCAGCCGAGCAGGGCCTAGCAGCCTAGCACATGTCCCTATCGGCTGCTCGATGCCTTTCGCAAGCTTCGCTATTTCTGCTTGAATCTTTAAGGTCACTTGGTGAAGTATTTCAGGGCTTTACAGCTGCTCATGTCCTATACTCGTGAAAGGCTGTTCCTGCCGAGTTTAGCTAGGTGGTGGTTGGGAAAACATTCGGCGGTGGTTGATGACCCGGCAGAAGTACAGCCTCTTTTTTTTAGCGGCAGGGTCCAGCTTGCCGTGACCGAGCTGATGCCGCTGTGACTCGATCGCACTGGTACTAGGAGCTTTTAGAAAGTCTCACATGGTGGGCCACTGAGGTCAGCAAAGTCTTCTTGCCATTAAGCCTTCATCCTTTCATGATCGCGTGATCGCATCGGGGGGATGGAGGTTTCCTGTGACGTAGTGGAACGAAATCACACACCCCTAAGCAATGTCCGGGTTGTTGGCTTTCGACTGCACGAAATTGTGCTCACACAGTTTTCTCAATATGTCAATCATAGAAGCTTGCCTTCGAATGTCGGTCACCACATGTTCATGAGGTCCTCTCCGCTCCGCTTTTTCCTGCCGCGGGTGTCTTGGCGAAGGAAGGTGATCCATGAAGAACTTTAAACAGTCGCAGTGTTTCTGTGTGGATCATCGCACATTTGGCACTTCTAGCCGCCGTTTTCGCATCAATCAGACCTGCTTCAGTATGCAGCACTTGTCTTTGTGAAGCCTCCTCGGAACGAATCTTTCACCATCTGACCGTCACTAGCTCCGGGAACGACTTGCTTGGCCAAGAGATGACCTCGCCCCATGGCCTCCGGTAGCAGCAGTCCACGTAGCTATGAATGTCATCCCATGCCGTCACGGTGACAAAGAAAGGCAGTCGACCAAGCACGGCCGTTTCTGTTGATGTGGCAAGGGCTCCCTATGCTCAGGCTTATCACACAAGCATCGTGCTTGGCAGCGAGGACAACTGCTGCCATCTTTTCGGGTAGGCCAACAGACAGGAAGCCTTTGGTGAGTTGTGGCGCTGCGACGCACCCTGAAAAGGAATATTGGTTCGGCGAGGCTGGCATCGCAGTCTCGGCATGGCCCAAGTCTGCCAGCCACGCTGGGCTAATACAGCCCACACAGCTGCTCGACATGGGCTGCAGCGAGGTCGAAGGCCGGGTTCTGAAAGTTCGAGGGTTCGCATCGGGTTTGTTTTGCGATGCTGGGATGCTGTGCTTTTTTGGGTCGCGGTTGAGGGGCCTTCTTCACGGTTGTCCCTATGCTTTAGCCAGTGCTACCAGGAATTAGAGACATGAACGGACTTTGGCCTGCCGGTTGGCGGCTAAAGTTAAGACGGCAGCCAGCTTGGTCAGCCAGCCGAAACATTCTGCAGCTGCCCGCAAGAGGGCCTTATCTGATGTCCATGCGCTTGCTCTCACGTATTCACTGCCGATGCACACAAACACAGCCTCTCTGTCGACACTGCCAGCAACAAGTGCTGCTTTCTGCCAGGCCAGCGCCTCAAGAGCGCACCTCAGCAGCATTCGCACCTACCATGTAGTGATTCCCTCTGGCCCCCTTCATCCTCGGACAGCAAATCCATGGGCATAAATTTCGGTCTGGCCTCATTGCTCGCATTGGCCATGTTTGTCTTGGCAGCACCACCCCCGTTACCATGTGACGGAAGCATTGAAGCCAGGGTTTGTTGCCACCATGCAGGAGCTCAGCCGCTTTTTTGCAGCGCACAGTGCGGCGCTCGGACATCGGAGTTGTTGCCATTCATCTCCTGATGTTGTGCAAAGTAACGGGATGTTCTTGTGGAACTCCTATGCACATCTGGATGCTCCTAATTCATTCCTCCTATGAAAAGCTGCCGATTGTTCATCTTCACACATAGCAGCTGCTTTTAGAGTTGCCATGCTCTGGCGCCGAAGGCTATGATCTCCTCCGCAAGAACTGCAACCATTTTAGCCGCTGCGCCCTGCACTTCCTTGGCTGCTCGACGTTTCCTTCCGAGTACCAGGCCGGGGGCAGGCCTGCTCCGATGCCTTTCCCGTCCATTGGCCTGAAGCAGAACTTCAGAACCCAGGCCATGGAACGGGCTGTGGCATCCATCGACAGCAGAGCACCTCGGAGCGATTCAGAATTCCTTTCGGCGCTTCTGAGGGTATTGAAACATAATTTGGGAGCTGTGAGGCACGGTGCAGGGTCGCAGGAACGGTTTGTAAGTGTGTCTAGGTTTGTCGTCTCGGGCATGAAGCTGGCACTCGACGTATTCTTGGGTTTGATTTTGCTTGTAAAGCGAACAATCATGACCCAATATTGAATCCAATGGATTTGTTGGCAGAATGATTTGAAGCTTCTAATTCGAGATGAAACCCGAAGTATGTTATATGAATCCCTGAACCTCCTGGCTATGGCCCAGTTCGCGCTCAGGCTTAGGACTACACAGCTCAAGAGATCTGATGTAGATTTTCTGCGTAGTACTCCGGCTGGCTTCATTGTGCATCATGACTAGCCGGCTCGTGTTTCATGGTGGCGGGAAAGATTTGCTTGGCCCGTGACCACGCTGTTGGGCAGGTTTTTGGTGTTCGTTGTGCTTCTGATACGGGAACGAGCTGGGGGATGCAAGACAAGAACAAGAATCCCCCGCCTCGCCTCCTGCCATCGGCGAAGAATCAGTCACTCCACTCTGAACGCATTGATTCTGAGCTGGGTGCTCTGTACTTATCGGTGAGTCCAAGTTCAGTAGGCTGTCTTGGCGCAGCTCGCCACGCTCGGGGCATACAGTCCCAACCGGAAGGCCGCATCTTGTCGGCAAGTTGAGACTTGCTTTTGCTGAGCTTTTGCAATCAGTAGAAGCCAGTTACACTGTTGAAAATGACAAACGGGATTTGCTTGGACATGAGGGGGCCAAGGCTTAGGGTAGGGCCGGGTAGGACTCATGGCACGTTCATGCTGAAGCGTCACCAATCCAGCGACTCTTGCGCGGTTCGGCGGAGGGTATGACTCCGTTCACGGGCTATGGATCCCAGCTCCAGGGGCCGTTGTGGTCTTGGTCCTGGAATCGGAGTCCGAAAGCCCTGGACGTGCACATGCTGGGAGCCCGCGCTCCCAAACCTCTTCAAACTTGCCATGAGTCCTCCACCCCCCCCCCCCCCCCCCAAAAAAAAAAAGAAAAGAATCCATACCGGGATTCTCAAGCGTGGACTTCTGAACCCCCTCAAGGACAGCTTCGACTGCAGTGGTGTCATCAAGAACCTGCAACTCCTTCGTGTCGCTTGGAGTGACTGACAGTGAGTGCAGATGTTCTTGTCCAGAACATCGCCAGTGCCTGTTCAAGAACATGTGTTTGGTGTGCCCATGCCTTCGCCATGTACGTGTGTGCCGCAGTTCTACAGGGACAATTCCTTACATCGCTAATCCAGGCATCAGCGCAGAGCCCGTACGTGCCACCGGCGACACCGACAGCCCTGCCGGCGCAACATCGCGCCACCGTGCAGCCCAGCGAGGTCCCACAAGTATGACGCTAAGTCTACCTGCAAGCGTTTCCCACCTATGCTGGATACTGTTTCCCTGCAAGAGATTACTTGTTGTGATTGCTTGGCTTCTAATGCATGATGGTTGGCGGCATCGGCATCGAGAATAAGTTTGAAGTCACAGAGAGTTTCGTGAGCTGCGCGTGGCTTTGTCAGGGCTCGCGCCTGCACCCAGCAACTTCCATGCTGTGCAGAGCCGACCAGGCACCATGCCGGCAGCGGGTAGCTGGGTAGCTGGGTAGCTGAGTAGCGATGCTGAGCTGAGCGCAGACAAACTTTGGCGGTCTGTGGTGCTCATAGCTTCGCGCTACAAGTTGCCGACGTAGTCCGCCCTCTCTCCGAAGCTCTCGGCCAGGTGAGCGGCGTAGATCTCCAGCGCTGCGCGCAGGCTGCCTGTAACTGCAGACGGTGCTCGTAGCAGTGCAGACATAGCTCCAGAAAAATTGCCGGGTGTGCAGAAATTAAAAACTGGAGATTTGCGGGTAGCTTAAAGTGATGAAAGAGAACGATCCGGAACCCGGGAAACCATCGACTACTGCTGGATTCTCGTGAAGTGTCGAAAATTGGTGTTACATTGGCCTCCGATGTCTCAAGGTGAAATCCAGGAACTTTGAGCATTTGATTTTTACTGCTCCTAGGCGCAATCCGATCTCGATGAAACTCCGAAACTAAGTGGCAAAACGGCTTTTCCTCGGGCCCACGTGAGTATTGACCTGGAATCTGGGAGGCCCTGGTTGCAGGCGCACGTCGAACGCAATTAGGATACAGAGACTGTTGGGATCCAAGGTTCGAGGGTTGAGGAATGTGGGCGCCGCGTTTGCGGGCTGCTTTAGTTGCTTCGGCTCATGCTGAGCTTGCAGAAAACGAGCCGGACGTAGCTCTTGACGTAGCTTCCAGGGCCTGTCTTTGCTTCAGAGAGCTCCTAGAACTGTTGGGCCGGCGTACTTCAGGTTCAGGGGTGTGTTTCAGCTTCGAGGCCGAGAGGGTCCATGAGAGTTTCGCATGCTCTGGGCCTTCAAAATCCTCAGGGCCGCTCAAACCATCTCCCAGAGCGTAAGCGAAGAGATCTGCAAAAGTTTGTCGGTTTAGCAAAAACTGTGTCTGGGAGAGAGAAAGTGAGAGAGAGAGAGAGAGCACACGAACAGAACTGACGAGCGGCCTTTAGGAATTTGCTTGCCTAGACCATCTCTTGTGAGGTGGGCGGTCGCATTGGTGCTGGCTCTGGACAGCGAGCCCATCGCGCTACAGAGGCGTGACCGTTTTTTAGTGGGCACACGTCCGCAAGCGAAGGAGTTGCGAAAGAGAGGGCGATGTATCAGAGAGAGACAGAGAGCGCTGATAGATGAGTTCTTGGGTGGCCCAAGCTCCCTGATGAGACTTTCCAGAAGCCTTCAAAGGTTTATGTTAGACGTAAATCCGAGGCCTAATTCGGAGTCTGCTTCTTGAGGATTGGGAGCCCGAGGAATTGCCAAGCGTCCCAAGTTCCTAGAGTTGGAAAAATTGACCAGGTTGCCGGTCGCGAGCCCCGACGAACAGCGGCGGGGCGCGCCCGCCGCACAGCGTGTTGCTGCTGGTAGTGAAGAGCTGCTTGGGCATTTGTGAAGGATGGTGGGTCTAGGGGTCATGGTTCTCGAAGGGTATCCCCTCAGATGGTTCGTTCAGCTTAGCTTGGGATGATTGGGAAATCTGACCGCTGGCAACAGTTGCAAAGAACATTGTTGCCATTGCGGACCTGCGGACGTTGTCCAAGCTGCCGAGAAAGCAACAAGGACCATCTGGTGAGGACAAATCTATATCGTAGCTCCTTCAATGCTGAAATCATCGAAGACCTTAGTCAATGTAATGATTTTGAGAATTCCGATTCATCTGCTTGTTTATAAGAGTACGTGTTCATGATGAGTTTTCTACTTATATTCTATCATGGATATTGGAAGGGAATATCTCTAGTACGAAATGTACTTGCGATATTGATTGGTCAGTAAAAAGCAAGAATATCTGATATAGGACAAGTGGCGTCCCGCATTCTATTGAGCCTTCCCTAACGAACCACTTCCATGCCAAATGGAAGAGAGTGACAACGATGTAGGACACCAAACAATGTAGGACACCGAGAGGGTTATGCTCCCAGAAGCACCCATGAAAAGTTGGTCCTCCGGTGCAAGAAGTTTACGCTCCCAGGCGCACCAATTAGATATCAAAGTTGTTTGTAATTGTCCATGAATTGGGCAAGGAAGAGACAGATGAAATTGGGGCACTTCCTGGTTCCCAAGCAAGTACAGTCCCATCTCACCACCCCGACTTGAGCGTAGGAGAAGAGCAGTACCCAAACATCACGGGAGATTCGAAGTCCATCTCGATGGAGAGGATCCCAAAACGAAGTTTTTGTCTCAAAAGGATCCCCAGATTCACTCACTCAGAGCTCACAATTGCATACAAACATACAAGTGTATATATAGCATATAGATATGTATCATAGCACATACATACATACACACACATATATATATATATATATATATATAAATGCTACAGTACCATGAAAAGTATACATGTATTATGTTTGCATTTATCCATTTATCTGAGTCTTTGTGTTTTTGTTAAGATTGAACTGGCTGTGTATAATCCGTCCTCCGCTTTTTCCTGCTCACCAGGCCCGTGCGAGCTGAGCTACAGACCACATAGCGGCCGTATAGGTCGGACAGAACCAGCCATGTTCCGTTTCGTGCTGCTCGCCCTCGTCCTTTGCTCCGCCGACTTGGGCTCCGAGCTCCGAGAGGCTGCCAAGCAAGGCGACGCGGCCAAAGTCAAAGAGCTGCTGGTCAAGGGCGCCGACCCCGACGACAAGGAGCTAGGGTTGGGGAAAGCTAAGAAAATATTCCTCCTAAGTCGAAAGACAGGACATTGAATTTTGGCTAAGTCGGCTTTTGTAGGCTGCAGGTGCCTCAAGGCCTGGAACCAAAAGCTTGGAAACACTGAAGAGCCATCACATCCCAAAGCCTAAGTCACCAGGCGCTTGGGAACAATAACCGGGGGCTTGAGGACGTTAATCGTGGTAGGTCCTTAGCCTCCGATCATCAGGAACACGAAAGCAGTCAAGGCCCTACATGAGGTTTAGATTTGGCTTAGTAGACATATTTGTAGCTCGCGCGCCTGAGACATGCAAGGGCTCCAAGGCCACGAACGATACATACTAGTCAAAGGGCTCTCCCCTGCCTCTTCCCCTCCTTCACTGCAAGTGCCCTCCCCCTGTTCCCACGGGCCAACTCCAAGCCGCCCCGAAGGAAAGCCTTGTCAGGACAAGAATGGCCTGACTGCGCTGCACATGGCTGCATCGACAGGTGACACGACAGGAAAAGTGCTCTACTTGGATCATCTGTTGCAGCTTGCTGTTGCATATTGTTTCTAGGTCGTTCGCTGTGTATAGGAAAGGGGTCGTTTAGACCTCCAAGGCGTCGCCACGCGAAGGAAATAGGCAGAAACCACTTTAGGATTCTCTCTGTGCTCCCTTGAAGCTTTCAATCTTCCGTCTGCTACCTCGCGAGCCTCAGACTCTTCTTAGCTCAAAACCCATCAGAACCCCATGTTGGCTGTTGTCTTCACGACTCGACAGGTTTTCTCCTTCTACGGCGGTGAGGTGCAAGAAACATGTTGTTGAGAAGTGACCACTGTGAGGATACGAGCGTAAGGACACCGAACGGGCAGCAGCAATCACGAACGAACATGAATGGTTTTGCCGTTTTCCTGTGGGTTCTCTTCTCAATTAGCTTTCAGAGAACTGAACAGAGCGAGTGAACGAAATAAACCAAGTACAAAGCGAGTTTTTCGGTTGCCTGCAAATTCGTATTGAGGTCATAAAAAAGTGAGGCAGAGTAGGAACAACGATGACAGCAATAAGCTGAAACAATCTCATGTGTTTCGCGTTCGTGTTTTGCAGGTCTCATACATTTACAAGTCAACAAAGGCAAGCGCGTGAAATGCACCCAAGGACATTCCGAGACCGCCAAGGTGCTTCTGGACGCCGGGGCCGACGTCAACGCCAAGGAGGTCAGTACTGTAGCTGATAGCCCGAAAAAGAGGTGCACCTTGCAGAGGTCCAGTCCAAAGCTTGCGGGGCCTTTCAAGCCCAGCAAAGTCTCTCGAGATGGTAGGTCAAGACCTGAAGCCAACGCAACAGCAAGAAGCGGATCCCAACACTTAAGTCACGGGGCCCGCGAAAAACGGAAGACATCTGTCACGGCTCAGTCCATGGGACTTCGTCTCCGAGTCTACGTCTTTGCCCCTTTCGGTCGGCCCGCCCTCCGATCATATATTCCTGTGAGTCTGATGCCAATCAAGGCTCTGTTGCAAAGTTGTGCTTCGGGTGGGGCATTGGAGGTGTTTGTGGTTGTTGTACTGTGAGGACGTTCAGTTCGCCAGGGCTCCGAATCGCAAGCTCAAAAAACATTGGCTTCTTGCTTAGTTAACTGCAAACGCATTGACACGGCAAACTCGGTAACGTGCATGACTTGAGGAGCTTATATTCAGATACCAAAAAGTGGGCTATCTATGGTATGGATAACATGGCGTTATAAAATGGTAACTTCCGTATGAACCCAGAACATGATCCTCGAAAATGAGGGTTCCCTTGATTGCGCCCGCTTCCCCCTGTTCACCTCCTCGGACACGGCCTGGCGCCATCCCTCCCCTTTTCCCGCAGCCCAACACCAAGCCACCCACGGAAAGTCCTGGCAGGAGAAGGAGGGCAAAGCTCCGCTGCACCTGGCTGCGATGACAGGCGACATGACAAGAAAGTGGAGAAGTGCTTGGCTCATCTTGGAAGCTGATTTATCCCAGGTCCTTAGCTTTCACGGTGCCTTGTCACCCATGTCAAGGAGACGTCTATAGCTCCCAAACGCCGCGACATGAAGTTTGTGTGTTCCAAATCTCATACGTTTACAAGGGAACAAAGGGAAGCGCATGAAATGCCCAAGCACATGCCGAGATGGTTAAGGTGCTTGTGGACGCTTCTGGGTCCTTAATCCTCAGCCCTAACCCCCAAGACGCCACTACAAAAAGGTCGTGCGGTCCAACTCACAGGTTGACAATGGAACAAAGAGAGCACGTGAAATGCCCAAGGACATTCTGAGACGGAAAAGGTGCTTGCGGACGCCGGGGCCGATGTCGACGCCAAGGACACCGTAAGCCATCAGCCCGAGTGAGGGGTGCCACTCACATCAAGGAAGTGAGTTCAGTGCAGTGCCAGTGAGACTATTGAGCGCGGCCTGGTCTGCAGCCACAGGCCCCCAAGTCCAGAGCTTGCGACCGACTCGGTCTGCCGAGCCCATCTGCAAAGCAAAGTCTTTTGCGGGTCAATCTATAGCACACCATCTCTGAGTCCACATTTTCACTCCTAGAACATGGGGCCATAGGTGGGCTTATTTCTCGTTGCTCATCGAGCGTGGCTGAAGGTGGCATTGAATGTCGCAGATGCCTCGACGTGAACTCGTAAGCCTGAAAACTCTGCCCAAAAATGAAGTTGCTGGGCACATCGGGCTTCCTAGGATTTGATCTTGGAATCCAGCTTGTGGCCTCCTTTGCCAGTCCCTCCTTCGATATCATCAGGAATGCCGGAACGTCGGCGTTTGCATGGGAGATTGAGATCTGGGCAGTTCTTGCACCGGATACAGAGATTCAAGGGCACCGGCCCTTGCAACAGCAAAGCTGTATGCGCAAGGGGGCCTTTCCCTCGCCATCACCTCTACGTGCGCATGTCGGCTCGGGAGGGGAGATGGATGTGGTTGTGGCTGTGGTGGGGGCGCTCTCCCGCTTCTCACGCCGCTTCTCCTCAGCCCTAGTTCTAGACTGTCATTTTCGAAGAGCCCTGGCAGGACAAGGACGGCAGGACCCCGCTCCACAACGCTGCAAGCCGAGGACAAACCAAGATGGTCAAGGTGCTTCTGCACGCCGGCGCCAAGATAGAAGCCAAGGACCCAGTTACTTGATTAGGTCGGAGGGGCAGTCTTTCGTAATGCGCTGTCTAATGTTTGGGATGCTGTAAACTGACAGAGAATAATTTTCTTTTTTACCAGATTTCCAGAATGAATCTGGAGCACATTCACTCCAGACTCCAGATTTCCAGAATGTGTAATCCAGAGTCTCGGGCCCCTGTGCTCCAGACTCATCCTGGTATCTGGAGTGGAGTGCGCGGAGCGCAGGAATAAAAGCAATGAACGCTGACTATAGTGGTTATACAGAACTCGGTTTGCCGGACAAGAGATTAGTCTGGCGGTCGAGACAGCAAAATCATCTTCAGCCATTGTCTAAGCCTGTAGACGATCTTCCCTTTTTCTCGACTAGAACGTGTGCTTGGGACGAGAATTCCATGCGGATCACAACAAAAAAGCCGGCTTACCGTCTTACAGCTGCAGGTGTAGGGACACTTTAGGGAGGCTGCAAGGAGCCTAGACTTTAAGATTTCAAGGGGGTTTAGGGCCCACAAGAAGCTTTCAAATCAAACTTCAAGGGGGTTTAGAGGCATCAAGGAACTTAGAGACTTAAGGGAATTTAGGGGCCTCACTTTGAAGGAGTGTAGGGGCCTCAAGAAGCCTAGAGACTTTAGAGAAGTTTCGGGGCCGCAGGAAGCTGAGCTACTGTAACGAGTCTAGGGGTCTCAAGAAGCTTACAGGCGAGATTTTGAGGGAATTTCGGGACATCAATAAGCTCAGAGACTTTCAGGGAGTTTCTTGGCTCCAAGGAGCTTAGAGACTTTAAGGGAGTTTGGAAGCTTACAGTAGAGACTCCAAGGGAGTTTCGGAGCCTCAAGAAGTTTGGAGACTTTACGCGAGTTCAGCTTAGGCTTTCACGTTTGAAAGAGTTTCGAGGCCGCAACAAGCATTCAAAATCAATCTTCAAAGGAGTGTAGGGGTATCAAGAAGATTCAGAGACTTGAGGAGAGTTTACGGGCCTCAAGAGACTTTAAGGGAGTTTAGGGGCCTCACATTAGGGGAGTTTAGAGGCTTCGAGAAGCTTTAGATATTTTGACGGACAGGGGCCCACAAGAAGCTTGCAGTAGAGACTTTCTGGGAATTTCGGGACATCAAGAAGCTTAGAGGCTTTAAGGGGGTTTAGGGGCTCTACGAAGCTTAGAGACTTCAAGGGAGTTTAGGTTTGCTGGAGACCGGGCGGGACACCAGGCAAGGAGGCGAGGGGGCCAGGAGCACGGTTGCCTTAAATCAAACAAGCTCGCTCCGAGAGCTGAGGTATAGTGTTTAGTACAGAGTTCAGGTTTTGCTTATCGGGGGATGAGTGCTTGAGATATTTTCGAAAAGGTATATAGTTTTGGGGATTGATTATTTAAGATACTGTACGACCTCGAGGAGATAGTTCTGCAACAACTGGTGTTTCAGGTTCTTAAGGGACAGTGCAGGCACATTATTGGTACCTGCACGCAAAAAAAAAGTACTGACCCTATTTCCTCGTCCCCACGCAGGCACAAAATCGGGACAGCACAACACTTCTGCAGTCTGGAGAAGCGAAAGTGCTGTACTGTCCCTATTTCCTGGGTTTTAGGCAGGCCATATTCGCATTCGGCACGCACGCGCACATACACAAACAAACACACACACACACACACACACACACACACATATCGCCGTGAGAACGAAGTCGGTAACACCAGAAATGGACCACCAGATCCTGGTAGTCTATTTCTGGCATCTGCATGTACGCATCGCTATAAGAAAGAAGTCGGAAACTATCATTAAAAATCGGAAGCCATCGGTATTTCCAGCGTTTTCTGCATCTGCATATACAAGCAAGAGAATACATCTGGAGTGAGAAGATTCTGAAAAGCATTGGGGGTGGATCGGGGGCGATATACATACATACATACATACATACATACATGAATCGTAGTATATATACATATGCATATGCATATACATATACATATACATATAAATACATGCTGTACAAATCGTAGTATATAAATATGTAATTATATCTATGTATATATATATACATATGTATATGACCTTCATGTGAAGTCCCTCGAACTTGGGGGGAAAGCGGGGATGGTTGGGCGTGTTTGTGGTTGTTGCGCTGGGGACACAGTTTTGCAGCGCCAGCATCAAAGCTCGGGGCGTATGATCATTTCGGAACATGTATGCTTCTTCGGGGTCCAGGGGCACATTTCAAACCGTCATTTGCGCAAAACTTTTGCAGGACAAGGACGGCAGGACGCCGCTCCACACGGCCGCAAGCCGAGGACAAACCAAGACGGTCAAGGTGCTTTTGGACGCCGGCGCCAATAAAGAAGCCAAGGACCCAATAAGCCCAAATGAAGGAGAGGCGTTGACTAGGTTGGGGAGCAGGCAGTCTTTCGTAATGCGCTGTCTAAATTTTGGGATGCCGTGTGAATTGTGACAGAAATAAAAGATACATATATACATACATGCGTTGCCATTTTTGACCAAATGACTTCAGCATGCGTGCCCTGGCCCCTCGTGCGCAGGTGCAACTTCAGTCCCCAAAGCAAAATTTCGGTGGTGTCTCAAGCAGCTGAAACTCAAGCAATCCAGTCAACAGCAAAGCGGTTCGGATCCCAACGCTTAAGCAGGCAGACACATGGGCCTTCAGGACGTTTGTCGATGGTGATGGCGCGGTTCAACTTAGGATGTGATCTCGGAAACGCAGATCTGGCCTTGTCAGCCCTCCACCGGTCATCAAGAGTTTCAAGTTTCAAGCCTGTCCAGGTTGTAGGTTTAAATTCATGCATGGTTCTGATTGGGTTGGAGAATTGCGTTGGAAGTGTTGGTGTTTGTAGTTCATGCGTTGAGCCACGGACTCGGGGGTTCGAAGGGCACCGGAAGACCAAACTCAAGAAACATGATCCTGATGTACGCCCTGTCGGCTCCGAGCCATTGCAGGACCAGGACGACCAAACTCCGCTCCAGGCAGCGCACTTTCAGCACGAGACCATCAGAGTGCTTGTGGACGCCGGTGCCAAAGTCAATGCGTCGGACCCGCCTTTACAGGCCTGAAAGAAGCAGAGTCACGTTGACTTTTCTTCAGCTCGATCCGCCCCTTCAGAGAGCTCTATCTATCTTGCGGCCACCATGCTCATCTCACTCCTGTAAATAAACTGTTTGGCCAATTGAGTTCGGCAAAAGACCACATGTGCGAGGGTGTAACCGGAAATCTTGACAGGCTGAGGAGTATCCGCTGATTTTCGGTAGCAGTCCGTTCTCCAACATCAAGTGCGCCGATGGCTCAGGGCGACCATGGTGACTCAGTGGTCCTCCGCAGTGTGCAGTGTGGCAGTGTATGTCTTTGAGGTGCGGCCGCCTGGAAATCTCACTTGCCCGACAGAGGTTTCTCAGGCGTAGTGCGTGCGCTGCCAGTACTGTACATGTATCTTATTGCTGCCTGCGTTGTTGCATTCATCGTGGCAGGCCGATGGCCCAGACGGCTCCAAGCATACGTATCTGCCGCAGTGACAGCTGCGCAGCAGCTTGAAAGGGACAAGGGTAAAGCTCCGCGTGCCCGAGGTTTAAAGTCTTCTTTGACAGAGATGGATTGATTTGCTCGACTAGCTTGGATCCTTGGAAAGTGAATCTTGCGAGTGACTCAGCTTCGGGCATGTAATTGTCAGCACGTGCGTCACACATTCTTCCTGAAGATGCTTGTTCCAATTGCTTGCGAGGTGGTTCGTTGCAAGCAGGCAAGACCGCTGCCTGTTTTACGGGAGTCTTCACCTGCATCTTGTACGTGTACTGATCAGGCACCGCATGCGGTCCTGTCGTCGAAGGCCGGCCAGGGCCCCTAGCGACAAAGCTCAGCAAGCATGATCCTCGAATTTGAACACCTTGCCGGATCTCGGTAGGGCTTTCAGAAAAATTATCCTGGAAGAATCATTAATGCTTGCTGTGTCGGGGCTCGGTGCTTCTCTGCAGTTCACCACACCTTTCTTCTTCCTTGTATACCGCTGGGAGTTGCGAATCACCTCCCTGAAGGAGGATCTGAGCGTAGCTGATTACAGCATTCTGCCACACAGGACCTCCGAGTGGCGGCAAGTCATGGCGACACGGCCAGGGTCAAGGAGTTGCTCGCCCAGGGTGCCGATCCCAATGACAAGGAGCGGGACTTGCTCTCACATACTAAAAGGTTATTTGGAACTATAGGCAAAATCCGAAGCCAGGGAGATTTGGAATCTTGATTTAAACTCCATAGGCATTTTCCAAGCACTGTACGTAGGTAATTGTATAGTGTTGAAATGTATCCTTGTATGTACCTCTTGCATGTTATGGTTTCATGGCAAATATACTGTCTGAGTTAAGGTGTTGCACTAAACACAAAATAGAAGCTATTTGGGAATGTAAGCAAAACACTTATGTCAGAAAGATCTTAGTTAAGCACACTATGAATCCGACCAAACACACTACGAATCCGACCAAGTACTGCGGGATCCCAGTTGTTCTTTGCTTTGTGTTCTGCTCAGGTTCAACGGCGAGTGTATGCTTATTTTCGTTGCAACCTGCTTAGTTCGAACGCCGTAGAGCTTTAATTATTAAATCTAGGCAGGTTTGTTTGAAGTATTCATGTTGCCTACACTCCGGCCCAGTATAGATTCAAGTATGAAAAGCGCTAGCCATCGCGTAGGATCACCAAAACAAGTAGGCGCTTGCTTAAATCCACCTCTATCAGAAAAATACAGTCTTATATCTGGACTATTGTATACATATATATATATATATGTATTTGCAATACTTTGTGCAAACAGACATTTTTTGTAAAAAAAGAAAACACAAACGTTTGTGTAGTAATGCCAGTAAGCATGCGAGTTGAAGACTAGAAATTAAGGTGAGCCCTCGTAATGATCACATGTGCACCATATGTCAAAATGCTTGCTGTCATGAGAACGCTCAACCTGAAATGATCTCGTTTGCTAATCCCAGAGAATCCAAAGAGAGAGGCAAGATTTCAACGCATCGCCCCTGGCCACCCCCGCAACCCCCCCCCCCCCCCACCCCTCGCCACCTGATAAGCAGAACCCATATCTCGCTAGTTATGTAAAAACATGGGCTTGTAGATCTTCACAAACGCGACAAAGAATGGAAACGAGAATTGCTTCACAGCAATGACAAGCATGACCTGAAGCATTCCCCTCACTAAGCAGAACCCTAGGGCATGCTAACTTCGTAACATATGGGATTGCAGATATTCATAGCACTGCCAGTTGACTCTTGCTATACTTGGCTTCGTGCATACCTTGGTAGGAGAAATGTCACAAACAAGACAAACAAAACAACATAGTGGCTCAGAGCTCAGTTCGGTTTAGAGTTTGGGTCTGTGCGGGGCGAATAGATCTTATAGGATATGAATGTACAGCTTTCTTAAGGCTTGTTTTGGTGGGGTCGTCGTTCTGTGTTCCGCTATTCCCCTCGCTCGCCTCCCCATGCAGCAGCCTTCTTGCCTTCACAGCATACTCTGGCAGGACCAGTACGGCTGGACTTCGCTCCGCTGGGCCACATACACAAAGCACCCCGAGACGGCCAAGGTGCTTGTGGATGCTGGTGCCGACGTCAATTCCCAGGACCAGACCTTAAAGATCTGAAGTATTTGACGCACGCTGAAATTGGGCACTCCAGACATTGTCTGGGGATACTATGGGGTTGGGCACTGCAGGGATTCGGATTGTCTTGATACTCTGCAGTTGGGCACTGCTGGGCATTCTGCAAATTCTTTGAGGATACTCTGGGCCTCTGGGCTCCAGAAATTCTCTGGGGGCTGGGCAATCTGTGTTTGGGGGGTTCTTCTGGGATACTCGAGGTTGGGTACTTTTGTGGGATATTATTGGGGCTGGCGCGCCAGTGATCCTCTGGGATACTCTTGGGGCTGGGCACTCCAGGGATTCTGGCCTGGGAACTGTTGCAATCCAGGAATCTTTAGGGTAGTCCGAGCCGATGGAGAGGTTCTCCGGAAAGGGTTTGGGACCTCCAGGGATTCTCTGGCGATACTTTGGGATGGGATGCGGGTGATGGGCGAGGAACCCGAAATCCTCGCAACTGAGAAGTTCCCGCCTCCCAAACCAGAGAAACCGGAAGTCCTATTGCTAGGCAGTTGAACAGCTTGCCGTTTCGGGTTTTGGCTTAGGTTGGGATCCCACTCGTCTCTGCAACTTTTTTCAGGGTTTGGAATGTTGCTGGGTCTGTCTGCCAAGCGAAATCTATTGAGACGGTCGTAGCCATGTAGTAGCCTTCCATTCTGGATCCAAAGGCCTGAACACGCGGAAGCAAGAAAAATCGACGCTTGAGGCTGCGTGTCGCAGTTTAAGACTTTATCTTGAAGTGGACCATCAGGAACATGAAGGTCATCATGGCGCTTTCTACAGCCTTAACTTGGCTTGCTGAATTGCGGTCGAGGCTTTGGTGTTGTGCTCAGGGTCGCGAGGGCCCGAAAATAATGCTTCGTCGGGCCGCGCTTTTGCCTGCATGACCCTTCAAGAAGGTAAGGGAGGGTTCTGGTCCCGTCCGCGGACGTTTTGGGCAGCCCAAAGAGCAAGCCTCAGAAGCAAACACGAATTTGTTAAAGCGGCAATGGGCCGATCCGAGGTTTGGGAGAGAGACGGGTCGTTCAATGGGGGATCGTGGGAACGACCTGCCGTGTTGCCGTGTGTCACAACTGTGGTCACACGGGTGAATGCCACCCCGGGGATTGGTTGAGGGGGGGGGGGGGGGCGCCCCGTGGCAGAACCAGACCGACTGTCAAGACCTATACCTACTTGATGTGCAGGTTCTACAGGCTGGGAGAGAAGGTAGAAGTATGTAGCAGTGAACAGGCAGCTCGGCCAGGTGCATGAGTTGTGCAGGCCTCATCCAACCAACGGATCTACTGACTTAACGAGTTCGATTGTGTCAAAATGCCGTAAGCAGCATTAAGTGCTCTGAGATGGCTTTCCCTGCTTCTGTAGTGGTTTGTTGATTCGCCCGCCTGCGCTTCGTGTGTTTTCTGATACTTTCAACGCTAGTTGACCTGCCAACGCCTTCCCACTAGTGCTGCATTTCATGCCACAGTGGGCTGTACTTGACCTGAAAAGGCACTGCCGGGCAGCCCAGAACCCCGTATGCAGCTTGCTATCGGCAGCAGCCTACACTCTCCCACGAAATGCGCAGTTCCCCCAGTGTGTGGCAGGGGTGCAGTGAGGGATCCTTGGAGCTAGGTGAGTTCGGCAGCCGTGATGCCCTGATCCACTGCAGACGGCTCAGGCTCCAAACCCTTTCAATCTGACCTGTGATGACGAAGCACAAATGGGAAGGGGAAAGTGGCCAGAGACGCCTCGACCTCAGCGTGGCATGACAGGGGGCATGGCATTCCAAGTTCCCGACGCTCTTGACATTTTTCGCATCATTCAGCCTCTTGTTCGGACATGTGATAACGTGAGCGTCGGCATGCAACTCGTGAGCCTCCCAGGTTCCAAGTGTATCAAGACGGAGACCAGGTCTGTGCACATCGTATAGACTTCGAGAAGCCGTGGGGAGTTCACTTGGCCCAGCCCTGAGAAACTGTCGAGCTGCATGCCTTTTGGTGTATCCTGTGGTATCCTTGGCTGAAGGCAAGCTGATTCGACCTTTTGTTCACCCTAAGGTGCTGCACTGCCGCCTTCGTGGACAGAAGCCAGATGTGCCTTGCCCTGGTTGTTGCTGTTCTGGGGTTTAAATTTCTTCCAAACTGCTTTCAGGCCTGGACGCACGCGGAAAGCCACAGATCCTTTCGAACGGTCACACAAGGGCCTGAGGCACGTGTCGAACTCTCCGTAGGGCAGGAGCTGCGGTTTAGGGTTGAGGGTTTAGGGGTGGTTTCCGCTCCTTGGAAGCTGGGGTTGAGGGTTTAGGGTTTAGGGTTTCCGCTCCTTTGAAGCTGAGCCCTTGTTTGGTAACAAGGTTTGGCAGCTATTTCTGCAAAAGCAACTGCGAGACATATGTGATCCAAAAGGCTTTGGCCGAGCTGGTGATCGGTAGCAATCTGGAGTCCGACATCAAATGCGCCAGCGGCTCATGGTACTCATGGCGACACATTGGTCTTCCGTGGTGGAGCAGCTTTTTTTGCAAGGTCCGGCCAAGTGCAAAGCTCTCTTGCCCGACGCACATTTCTCAGGTGCAATGCGTCGGTTCTGAGCGGCCGCATTTTGTGACAAACGTGGCAGGCAGCACGTGGCTTTACGTGGCTCGCCCAGTGGCAGCTGCACAGTGGGTTTGCGGTTGGCCAAGTGTTTAGCCCCCAATACCCGAGGTTTAACGTCCACGAGGACGACCAAGGAAGGATTTGTGCAAAGCGTACCGATACCTCATCTCCTTGGGGTATGCATCTGGCTAGTGACCCAGTTCGGGGTGTGTACTGTAATTGTCCACTTGCCTCGCACGCGTTCTTCCCGAAGATGCTTGTTCTAAGTGCTTGCAAGGTGATTTCTTGCACAATTGTGAAGGCACGACGGCTGCCTGTTTGACAGAGGCTGCGCCTGCTTGTTGTGTGCGTGTGCGTGTCCTGACCAGGCTGGACATTGGAGGACAGCAACACACGAGGTCCCAATTGCTGACCGAGATTTAGTCACAGTCCGCGCCCGTCCACACGGCCCAGACTCGACCATGTTCCCTTGACAGGGCCCGCGCAAGTTCACGGACTCTTATGAGTTTGTAGTTGGCAGCAGTTGGTCTTCTTCGACCAAGTGCGTCAGGACCATATTCTCAACAATGTTGTTGCCTGCATATTGCACCGGTAGATCCGATTGTGTGATCTGTTTGTGTGTCCCAGGTGGATGATCCGGGACACATCTACTGCGATGACAAATCCTTTGCCGCTACTTCTTGGGTCACAGAGAGGTTCCATGTCTACCACGAGAAGAGCAAGATCTGCGCTCGTCGGACAGACAGTGGCTAGGTAGGCCCTTGGGCATTTTTTTAGATTCTTCCTTATATTGGGCGTAAGAGGATCATGAAAGAGGGTTGTAAGGGACATCCTAGGCGATAATCCTTGGAGTCTTCACGTGGCCGGGGCCCCAGCGTGGCCCAGTCTTGGAGCTGGCGCAGAGCTGCAGAGCAAACTGAGGTCCTGCAGTGCTTGCCCGTAGCCAAGGTGGCCGGGGCTTGAGAAGGCAAATTCAGGCCTTAGATGAGTCGATGCGAGAAAGGAGGAACCACACATGCCAAAGATAACTCAAACTTGCAGAAGCCTGAGAGAAGGCAAGGCCTTGACTAGACAAGGTCGAATAGGCAGTTTTTCGGAATGCCTTGTTTAGCGTCTGCGAAATCAGAGTGGGCGAGGAAGGATCGCAGTTTGACCAAGTCAGATCCGAGCGTCAGCTGAAGTGCTTACCGTTTCATGCCGTTTCGGGTTTTGATTGGCTGAGGCCCGACCCACTACGAGTTTTTTGAGATGGTAGGGCCTTTTCGTAGCCATCCGCAAATCTGGAGCCAACAGCATAAAAATCCCAGAAACAAGAACTGCGACAACGAGGTCTGGACCCCAATGCTACTGTGGGGCTTGAGGACATGTGTCGCGATTGATTTTGAGACATACTGAACTTTGCCCCTTGTCAGCCCCTTCGGTGATCTCATCAGGAACATGAAGCCAGTCATGGCTCTTTGTCCAGCCGGGCTTGGGTTGTGAGTTGCGTTGGAGGGTTTTGCAACGAGGGCGGTGCCACGGCCCCGAACGACAAAGCTCAGGAAGCATCATCCTCGAATATGAACACTTTGTCCGGGCTCAGTAGGCGCTTCTCCCCTCACCTCCGCAAGAGGCCTACGCTATCCCTCCCGGTCTCCCACGGCCTGCTTGCACATGGCAAGGCATGGCAGAAACGCGTCGACAGAGTCTACGGCGAAACTCCACTGCACGATGCTGCAGTCCAAGGATCAACCGAGACGGCCAAGGTGCTTCTGGGCGCAGGCGCTGATGTCCACGCCAAGGACTACAAGCCTAAAACCAACAATCGATATAGGGAGCGTTGCGTTGACTAAAGGTCCGCGGCAATAAATAAATAAATATATATATATATATATACATATACATATACATATACACACATGTATATATATATATATACATAAAATATAAATAAGTAAATAAATAAATATATATATATATATATATATATATATATATTGCAAATTTTGACACAAATCCAAAAATCCAAAAATCCAAAAACTCAAAACCATGGAGCCGGGAGGCCGCCTTTTTTGGATTTTTTGGTTTTCTCGAGGTTTTTTTGGTTTTTTTTTTGAAAAATCCAAAAAAACCATGTTTTTTTTTTGATTTTACTTGCTCCTGGCCTCAAAAACCTAAAAAACACATGGTTTTTTTTGGATTTTGAGTGAAAATCCAAAAAAACCCTCGTGTTTTTTTGGATTTCAGGTGCTCCTGGTCTCAGAAACTAAAAAAACACATGGTTTTTTTTGGATTTTCACTCAAAATCCAAAAAAAACCATGTGTTTTTTAGGTTTTTGAGGCCAGGAGCAAGTAAAATCCAAAAAAAACCATGGTTTTTTTTGGATTTTTCCAAAAAAAAACCAAAAAAACCTCGAGAAAACCAAAAAATCCAAAAAAGGCGGCCTCCCGGCTCCATGGTTTTGAGTTTTTGGATTTTTGGATTTTTTGGGTTTTTTTTTAGCAAATTTTGCAAAAAATGCTTTTCTTGTATAAAGAATGTGTATTGTTATACGTTGTTTCTGCTAATGTGACTGCCTTGCACACACACAGAGAAAAGCACACAAACACACCCACCATTCGTTTTTTTTTCAATTCAGCCTATTCGGTATGCAGGGCGTGGCGTTAACATGTAAAGTTCCATTAGATTTAATTACGAATGAGGCTTAGAAGAGGATGTCTTGTGATGTGGCGTCTTAATATGAAAAGTAGTAAAAAAAGAAATAGAGAGGGTTTCTTAGGGTGTGGTTCGTTTGAGGATGTGGACCTGCAATTCAAAAGTCTAATTGGACTTAAAAAAAGAGTGGGGCTTCGAAGAGGATGTCTTGGGGTGTGGCCTCTTAATTTAAACGTCTATTTACGTGGAATCACAAAGGAAGTCCAGTTGAGGATTTCTTAGGGTGTGGTGTTTTAGTGCAAACCTCAAATTACGTTTCATTACGAAGCGGGGCCAGAGGAGACTTTCGCAGGGTGTGGTCGGTAAAAGAAAATTCCAAAGAGGTAGTAACGAATGAGGCTTAGAAGGGCGTGGCCTCTTAATTGTTTTACTTGGTTTGGTTTTACGAACGAAGCTGTGGCTTTACCATACACAGGTCTTAGGGTGTGGCCTTTTAAATTCTGTCCAAAGGGGTGTGGCCTCTAAACTTAAAATTCAATTTAAGTGGAATTCCAAACGAGTCCAGATGAGGATTTCTTAGGGTGTGGCGTTTTAATACAAACCTCAAATAACATTGTAGTATGAAGCGAGGCCAGGGGAGAATTTCATAGGGTGTGGTCTGCAAAATAGAATTCCAAATAGGTATTAACCAATGAAGCTTAGAAGAGGATGTCTTGTGGCGGGGCCTCTTAATTTGTTTGTTTGACTTGGGTTTAATTTACTAACGAAGCTATGGCTTTATCATATACAAGTCTATTGACATTTCACTAATAGGCACCAGAAGAGGATTTCATAGGGTCTAGCGGTTAAATATGGAATTGTAAGTACATTCAAATACGAATGGGGGCTCATGATATAAATTTCTGTCCAAGAGTTACATACGAACCTAGCCCAGGTCAGAACTTCTTAGGGTGTGGGCTTCTTACCTAGAATTATAAACTTCTTACGAGATTCTGTTACGAACAGGCCCCAGAATGGTGTGGCTTTTTTAATACAAGCATCTTGGCAAATCGAAAATAAGTCTAACTACAAACGCAGGTCTAATGAGGATTTCTTGGCGTGTGGCTTTGTAATACAGAATTCTAATTGATCTTCATTACAAATAGGGGCCAGAAAGGGATTTCATAGGGTATGGTCTGCAATATAGAATTCTAACTCGGTTTCATTGCGAGGAGGATGTCCTGGGGTTGGCCTCTGAATATACACTTGCTTTACTTGGGTTCAATTACGAACGAAGCCCAGAAGAGGATTTCTTAAGGTTTGGGCTTACAATATGAAATCAAATTGCGTTTCATTGCGAATGGGGCCAGCGAAAGATTTCACAGGGTGTGGGAAAAACAAAAATGTTCTAAATAGGTATTAATCAATGAGGCTTAGAAGAGGATGTCTTGGGGCTGGGCCTCTTAATATGTTTTTTACTTGGGTTAATTACGAACGAAGCTGTGGCTTTATCAGACACAAGTCTACTGAAATTTCATTAAGAGGGCCCAGAAGAGGATTTCATAGGGTGCGGCCTTTAAGTATAGAATTCTTTTCGTAGGGTGTGGGCTTCTTATGTAGAAGCATTTTCTCAATAAAATAGGAAGGAAGCCCAGATGAGGATTTCTGAGGCTGTAACCTCTGCATATAAAGCTCTTGTGAGATTTTGTTACGGACAGGCAGGCCCCAGAAGAGGATTTCATAGGGTGCGGCTTTTAATTGGCAAATTTAGATTTCTAAAAAATTTTACTACGAATGAGGCCAGTGGCCTTTTCATTTTCATTCCGACTTAGGTTTAAATCTCGCTTCGATGGGCCCGAAAGGCCTTTCGACCTAGATCATGGGGGGGGGGGGTGAGCATATATATATATATATATGTATATATATATATATGCGCATAGCATATATAGCTGTTTGACCCATTGACTTCCCAACGGAGCCCGTGCCCCGCGAAAACACATGTGCACGCCGAAGCAACCCAGACATCATTGCGAGTTTTGATTGGGTCGGTGTTGGCCCCACAGCCCCACAGTAAATGGTGCAGCGGACTCCAGTTAACCGAGCCCGATTTTTTGGTATATCTTCAAAGGTTTTGGGGGTGGGGCGTCCCGCTCCAACTTTCTCGATATGCAGCCTGGCCCTTCCCCGCCTCCACCACACCCTGGCAGGAGAAGTACGGCAAAACTCCACTCCACGACGCTGCGTACGCCGGACACCCCGAAACTGCCAAGGTGCTTGTGGACGCCGGTGCCGATGTCCATGCCCAGGACCTTGAATAGTTAAAGCCTGAAAGAAGAAGAGTTCGCTGGAAGCGGTCTTTCAGTCTTTCAGAATTCTGAGTCTAGCCCCCACCGATGCTGATCACATCGAACGGAGTTCGGCCTTTGAAAGACCAAACGTGAGATCCGAGCGCGTGTCTTGGGCCCCTCGAAAACCAGAGAAGTTCCTCACCTCCCACGCCAGACGTCCTATGGTGAGCTCCGTTTCTTGCCGTTTCGGATTTTTTACTGGCTGGGACCCGGCCCGCTACGAGTTCTATTGAGATGGTACTGGGTCGATGTGGTTTATTAGCCAGCAAGCCCAGAAGATAGCCCAGTCGCTGTGTGCCCTGCGGAATCAGCAAAATTCACATAGTTGGTGCTTACCAGGTTATAGTTCTGTAAGCTTCGTTTGGAACACGAAACGCGAGGGCACGCTAGCAATGAACATGTGAATATGTGACCGTTTTATATGCTGTATTTGATGCGCGATACGACTCGAAACGCCAAGGTGCACCTGCGAGGGCGTTGCAATCAGGGTTCAGAGTAGTAGTTAAGTCAGAAGTCCAGGGTGTTTAACAGGCCCCCGGCGTCTTTCAGACCCACAGCCATGTCGCACTCGTAGGTTCGAGTGCATGTTGGCCTTGCCAAGACAGGTCCGAGGCATCGTTCGCGGTATCGTTCGGGTATCGTTCTGACAACAATACAGACACCCCCATCCAAAGCCCATTTCTTCAGGTTACGTTTCAAATCGCAGTTCTGGAAAAATCGCTGTGCCCTGCGGGAACGCTCTGCGAAACAGGCGTTTTTTCAGCGTCTCAAGCTAGACTCACGTGGCTATCACCGAGAGGTAGCTTCGAAAAGAAGTTCACGGGTGGATTCATGGCAGCGGTACTGTTTTATCGCTGTACCCTGCGGGAAGACTCCGCAAAACATGCGTTTCTTTATAGGTACATCCTAGTCTTAAGATGCTATCCCCGAGAGGTAGAGAGTTTTTCCTATCATTATCGCATGATTTGGGACTTGTGTGCCCTCGGGATTTCGGTTCTGGGCTATCTTCTTGACATGTTGGGCTACCTTCTGTGCCATGGGGTTGGGCTATCTACAAGGTGATTGGGCCAAGAAACCACGCGCGCTCGTAGGGGCAATGCAGTAGCCGTCCATAGACCTGAAACCAAAAAAGATTAAAACGCACAGAAGCAAGAACCGCGACAATGAGGCCTGCACCCCAAAGCGAGAGTGGGTTTTGAGGACTTATGTCGCGATTCATGTTAAGTTGGGTTTGCGAATTGCGTTGGAGGTTTTGGTGTTGTAGTTCTTGCAACGAGGGCTGAGGCAGCCGAAACACAAAGCTCAGGAAGCATGATCCTCGAATATGAACAATTTGTCCGGGCTCGGTAAGGGCTCTCCATCCTGCTTCTCCTCATTCACCTCCCTTCTCCCAGGGCCTATAACTCCAAGCCACCGTGCGTGGAAAAACCCAAAAAATGCGAACCCTACAGCCCGGAAGGACTTCTTCGGCAATACTGCGCTCCACGATGCTGCACTCCAAGGACAAACCGAGACGGCCAAGGTGCTTTTGGCCGCAGGCGCCGATGTCGATGCCAAGGACCCCGAAGCCTGACAGAAGAGGCGACAGGGTGAGTGTCGGAATCGAAACACTTCGCCGCAAACTGTCGGTATGTTTCTTTTTGTAAATGTTGAGCACGAGGATCCTTTGTCCCGTTTTTGACTATCGAATGCCTGCCTGGTCCCTCGAAAGGAAAAGTTGCAACTGTGTAACCTACATGAAACCTTGAAGCCTGAGAAGTTCCTCGCTTCCGAGTCTTGCAAGCTTCAGGTGGAGAGTTTCGAACCGGTTGGGGCACCAACCACCGCCAAATATGCCAAATATCCTACCTATCGGAGATCTCGAAGTCGTTAAGAGCCGCCGAGCACCTGGGGTTTACCAACTGTTGTCGCAGTTCAGTATCAAGCTTTGCGTCTCTTGGCCCCTTGCCGGCCCCTCCTCCGTTCATCAGGCGTATCACGACACTCGAGGCGACATTGTAAGGTTGTTCACCGTGCGGCCAGCAACATCCCTACCACTCTCCCATGTTGCAGCCCCTAGCTGGCGCCCGCAGAAAGCCTGACAGGATGTATACGGCGACACTCCGCTCCGCGAGGCTGCGTGGAAAGGACACCCCGAAGTGGCCAAGGTGCTTGTGGACGCTGGTGCCGACGTCGACGCCAAGGATCGTTTGCGTAGGCGCAAGCTTGAAAGAAGAACTGCCGTAAACAGCTTTGCAGGAGGTCTATAAAGCTCGGTCTAGCTTCCGGGATGCTGTTCACCTCGAGCACGAGAGGTACAAAGCGGCCTGGGGCTTGTGTGCAGGAGGCTGTATGGGTCTCGTGTAGGTTTCAGTTTTCTTGGCACCTGGCACTAGCAGCACAAGCTGTTAAGGAACCCCGTGTGCAACAGCCATGCTGAGATCATGGAATCAAAACACCCACTCAAAGCATGCGAACCAAGCTCTCAAGCTCATACAAGCCGGAATGCTCCCAAAAAGTCCCGAAACAAAGTAGCCCTGAGGGCACGTAGCCTGCAGGGCAAGCCTCAGCCAGCTCAATAGTATAAGGCATTGGGGTTTCTGCTGGGTAGGAGGTGTTCGTGTTGTAATGTAGTCTTGCAGCGAATATAAACACGGAGGTCAGGCCCCGAACGACGAAAACAAGACCTCCCCTCCCCTCGCGTATCTTATGTGGCCTGCATGCAATCCTTCCCTCGTCCGCGGCCTGCGCACCTGGCGATGCCCTGGCAGGATAAGAACGGTGAAGCTGCACTCCACAAGGCTGCATGCCATCATCAGGTTGGTGGCGGTTTTTCGGAATGCCCGGTTGAGCTGAGCTTCGAGGATGTTGTGCCAGTTAAGCTGTAGTTAACAACAGCTGTACCACTATGCTCTACTGAACAGCCTTCCCTCCCTCATTCAAGAAGAGCACCATCCCATCCCTCCGTTGCAAGACCGTGAAGATGCTCATAGACAAGGGCGCCGACGTCCACACCAAGGAGCCTTTGTCCCTGCTCTGCTGTTGAGCTTCCAGGGTGCGAGGCTTTTGTTCAGTCAGCTTTGAATGTATGCCGGGGCCCTCGGGCATCCACAGGTGTGACGGTGCAAGATTTTGAAACCAGAGAAGCTTCCCTAGCAGACGGCACCCCTTTTGCGTGGCCGATGGAGAAGTTGGCAGGAGTGTGAGTTACCTGGTAGGTAGATTGTTGGTTTCGTACAAGCTACTGGGCGAAGGTCCACGGCCACATGGCATATTGCTTCTGAGGCTAAAGGGTTTGAGATGGTTTGAGTGTTTGCCCAGTTGTTGATCCAGCGTGGCATTTTCTGACCTGGCCTGCGTAACGCAAAGTCGATCGATCGTGCAGGCTATAAAACAAATGCCTGAATGACGCCTCCTCTCAATTGCAACTGGCAGGATTGGCGCAACGAAACTTTGATGCACTGGGCGATATCAGGAGCACATCATGGCACCGTCAAGATGCTCGTAGACGCCGGAGCTGTCAACACCGAGGACAATCGGCGGAGGGAGGGGGGGTGCAAACCTGACTGAAAGCAACCGACGAGGGCACAAATATGTTGGTGCCGGCTCGTCATGAACCATGATGTATGGTGACCACGTAGCGTTGCGGGGAGCTTGTTGCCGTGCTGGGAGAGTGAGCGGCAAACGGCAAGCCAGCCAAACGAAAACTCGAAACCCTGTCACACGCACGCATGCCACCACTGAATGTGGTGTGTCATGTATAGGACTTCAAAGATGCGGTGGGCAAGCTTGGCTGCCTGGAAGGGCTCACTCTAGCCTGGATCAAGCAGGGCGGCCGCCTTGACAACTTGCCTCCGGATGCCAACACGGCACGCAACTGCGCGTTGCGCTCGATGAGCTACGTGCACAAGCTGCAATCGGCCTTTTGCCATTGGCAGACATACGCTTGGACTGCAGGCGCGCTGGCCGCGGCCTTGCTCGCCGTGGCCGTCGAGGGCCGCTACGTTCGTGCAGCCTGGGCTGGGTACCGCAGAGTCGAAGACGCAGGGGCGCCCCATTGCCAAGATGTCGGGCAGTAGTCAGTAGATCACTGTGTCTGCTTTATTCTGCTGTTGACATACACACACGTGCACATGCAAACGCGCACGCACTCATGCGAACGGGCGCGCGCTCGCTCTAAGCAGACTCTGCTAATTAGCAGGCTTGTTCCTGTTCTCTCTCTGTTCACGAAAGTATTTCAGGCTGGAGCCGAGCACTTCCTTCGTGGTGCCAGGCTACTGGTGGCAAAGGCGAGGACGCGCTACAAAGGCCTCAAGCTTGCCATGCGCGCCATGGAAGTTGCAGCGAACGGCTGCCTGATAATCGGAGCCGGCATGATCGTTGTTTGGTGGCCGTACTGGCTTCCGGCGTGTCTCATGGTCTTCGGATGCAGAGCTTGGTACCATCACGGCCTGCAGCCTTTGCTGCAGGCACCCATCCTGAGCATTGCCAGAACAAGCGGCCGGAGCGCCATTGCGCTCTTGCAGCTCACGGTTCTTGGCGGCCTTGTGGTTTTCATGATGTGGTGGCCACGGGACAATGTAGCGTACCACGTGAACTGGGCCAGGAATCCGCTGGAAAGAGACATCCACCAGACCCTGTCCACTGTTTGGCCGCAGCAAAATTTGGCCATCGACTTCCGGGCCACGCACCCTCCACAAACTCCAACAAGCTGGCTCCAAGCACCGTGGCTCTACGCCATGACCATCCGGACCATCGCAGAGTACTGTCTGTACACCCTGTTGGCCTTCATGGCCATCTACGTGGTCTGCCTGGTGGTACTCAGTTGCCACGACGCATGCTGTGCGGCACCGAAGACTTCGGACATAGAGCATGGCAGCCGACACCTGCTGGTTGAGGGCTTCGATGACAAAGCCCTGCTAACGGACCTCCCCAGGCTGAGAAAAGAAACGTGGCTGCCACGAGGCATCACCGAGCTCTTCGATGCGATCCTGGTGAAGCTCCTCTTCATTTCCTTGGACTTGCTTCTGGACTTCAATACTATCTTGAGCCTTCTCATGTCGAGGACTCCAAAGCACCAGCTCTCGCAAATCCCTTCATATACTTAGAACCTACTTGCATCTACCCTCTCCCCTCTCTCCGAGTCTCCCCATGCATATGCCAATCATCGCACAGGAACTACAAGTTCGCCGGCTCCCTGACCTTCGTTGTGGCTCGCAGCACATTCAAGCAGCTCGAGAACTTGGGCGGATTCAGGGAGGCGCGGTAACTGACAAAGTCTTGTATAAAGGGTGCTGCACAGCTTGACTCCTTGGGAACCAATCAGACTGAAGGTGTGGCCGCTGGTCTGGAGTTCGGGGTTTAGGGTTTAGGGTTCCGGCAAGGACATCATAGCCCGGACGCAAAAAAGGGTTGGGGTTTAGGGTTTCGTCTCAAATGTTCAGGGCTTGAGAGACAGCGTTCAGGCTTCCGAACGTTCGACGTTCACCATACTGGAATTCAGGGCTCAAGAGACAGGACTTGGCTTGAAATGGATTCGTCTCTTGCGGGCAGGCGTTGAATGAGAGCCTCGAGCGTGGGATTCTGCACGAACAGGTGCTGCCTGGCTTAAATGAGGTGTTTCCGCAATTATAGGACCCCTTCACATGGAGCGAGCTGCCCAATGATGATTCAGGCCGCGAGCTAGTTTTCTGTTCAGCGAAGGTATCCCGTGGGCCAGGCACTTGTAAAAGGCTGGGAGGCAGGCTGAAGTTGCCAAGGCTTCAAATCTTCGACGAGGAGAAGGGTTCCGAGGCCTTCTTCAGCCTCATCATCACGTCCTACAGCTACGTGTTCTGTGTGCAAACGGCAACACAGGCCATTTTGCAAGGTTTCAGCATTGTTTTAAGTATATACGGCCTCGCGGTGTTCTTGGTGGAGAGATTGGATCTCGACTTTGAGCCGCCAGAGGGCCCTGAGGAGTCCCCTGTTTCGCCGCACACAACTTTGTTGCAGTCTCGCGGCCCGGGCACGAAACCCCAGACCCACGACCCGGACCCCGAAGCTGCTCCGGGAGCTTAGCAGAGCTTTGCTATGTTCTGTTCCGTTTTACAAGTGTCCTTGCAACATTGAAAACGAGGCAGAAGCTGTCCAAAATATGCTTTCGGACTACCCTAGAAATGATTATTCCGCGGTCATGAGGGTGAGGGCCAGGTGTCCGCAAATTCGGTGCAAGGGTGCCGAATCTGGAAACCAGCCGAGGGATGTTACGCACACACCCCAGCTGAGTGCAGATGTACGCACCTGAATACCACGTATCCCTTCCCCCTAATGTTGAAGCCACGGCCCATAGGAATCCGACTGTACTAGGCACCCATGGTCGTCTTTTGGGGTCTTTTGTTTGTGGTGGTGGGTCGAATATTCTGGGGAAGGGATTATTGACAGAGTTATATCGAAGCAACTGCATGCGCATCAATGCGTGATCCGGCAAAGCTGGATGCGCCATGCGCCAAAGAGAAGAGCGTTTCTCGGCGAAGAAAATCCCTTGGACGAGGAGATTTGCCATGCTTAGCCGATGCTTCTCTGCTGCTTCCTCATGTGGACCACAATGCACAATGAACCCGGGCACACCCGCAAGCAGTGCCGCATGAAATTCGATGCAACTTGAGAGGGTGGTGGGCGCTCTTCGGCTCAAAGTCTTATCTAATTGTGGGGCATTGCCAACTGCTAGGGACAGCTTCCTCCCACTGCCATGCAAATGCAGCTCTTCAGGCTAGGGACCCGCTATCTGATCATTGCGTTGGCTATGTCGGGGGATGTCTACGTGTAGACTTGCATATCTGGGAGATTTTGCAAGATTGCTTCGAAGCATGACCGCCCTAACCGTTTTAAGCGTCGGAGAATGGATAGTGTGGCGTTGAGTCTCTCTGACTGACTTCTGACATGTTCTGGCCATGGGAGCCAGACTTTATTCCATGGCGCAAGCACAGCCGAGAGCGCCATGTGCTGTGCAGAATTCCAGAACCACAACACATCATCAGGCCTGCAATATCTTTTTGCGGCGATCTGCTTCCTGGTGAGATCACCTTCTCGTCCCTTCCTGTGACTTGCTGAGATGCTCAAGCTGCCTCCCTGAAAATCCTGGCGTTCTAGGGGTGTGCTTGAGGGAGTGTCACTTCTTGTGTAGACGTCTGTTGCTGGCCAGAACGCCCATGCCGGAAGCTGCAGGTATCAGGTTCCCGGCCGAATCAGGCTACAGAATCAGCTCCGCGAATCAGATCGGACGTAGGAACGAATCAGATCTGCCTGCCCGGGCCCGAATCGCATACCCCATTCTACGAAACGGATCGCCTCGGGCCCCAATCGGCGCAAGACTCAGGGGGTCCCCAGGGGTCCCAGGAAGCTCCTCCCAGCGATCTGGGGTCCCTGGGGGGGTCCCACGGCGAGCTCCTCCTCTACACGGGCCACGCCATGGTTGGTTGGCTTGGAATGCCTGTCGTAAAGATGCCAGTAAGTAAGACAAAAAGGTGGTCATTTGCAAATATCAGGGGCAAACCGATCAGGACGGCGTATGGGGGCGGATGGCACACAGCCTTCAAAAGTCGAACCCCCCTAGCCTTCGTCGAAACCCTTGGCCTTCGTCGAACCCCCCTCCTGGCCCTTGTGGCCTTCGTCGAACCTCCGGCGTTCATTTAGCCTTCGTCGAACCCTCGCGTTTTTTTTCGGGCTTTGTCTTGGCCTTTTGTATCGGCCTTCGTCGAACCCCCTCCCCCTTCGTCGAACCTCCCGGCCTTCGTCGAACCTTCGCCCGGCCCCCCGGCCTTCGTCGAACTTCGTCTCGGCCCGTTGGTATCCCGAGTCTTCGTCGAAGTTCCCCGGCCATCCTGCTCTTCGGCCATCCTGATGTGTTTTCCCCTTAAAATAAGTGACCACTTCTTAGATTGGCCAGAATGTCTTGAAACAAAAACATCGAGCAATAACAACATATTCCAAGCTCTGAGGCATGCGAATTAAGGAGGCTTGCAAAAGTAGTTCTGTCCAACGGGAATCTCCTTGTAGAAACGACGCAGCTAGATGGCCGTCTGACGGCAAGCTCCTTCTATACACAGCACACGCAACTATCGGCTCGGCATGCCCTCCGCCCTCAGGTACGACGCCAAATCGGATGACAGTAGTCGTGAACGAAAACAAGCAGCAGGATGTGACAAACTTGCAGAGGAAAAACCAATCCAGACTTTCAATACTGCATGGCAAAATATTACAGGCTCGGAGGCATGCGAAGCAAGGAAGCCTGCAAAAGCAGGACAGGTGTCAGACGGCAAGCTCCTTGCTTACTGGACGCAGTCTATCAACGTCCATGAAATGGCGAAAAAAGAAAAAGCCTGGCAAATGACACACGCACGCCGCATTAAACCCGATCCCCTCGCATTGGCGGTGCTGGAAGAAAACAGAAAAGCCGTCCCTGCGAGATCGGGTCGGCTCTAAATCTAACCGGGACGTCCTGCAGCCATCATCTAGGGGTACTTTCTCAGACATAAAAACAACATGATCCGACGCAGTCGTCCTGTGAGCCACATGTCTCTGGGTTGGGTGCCGATACGTTGAGCCGACTCGTGCTGTGCTGATCCAGTTCGTTGTTTCTGTGATCCAGTTACCCCGCCCTGCCTCCCACAAGTGCCTGATCCACTTTCTGGGAGCTGATACGTCTTCCTACCCGCCCATGCCCGAGACATGGTACGAGTCCCTGCATCAGTTCTAGAGTCGTGTGACCTTGAGCCCTAGAACCATCTAGAACCGCTGCACCGGGCGTCAGGATGATTGGATGCCCAATAATTATGGCTGTTGTGAGAGCTGCTGCAATGGGCGCTCACTATGGCTGTTGTGAGAGCTGCGGCAAAAACAATGCTCCCCTTTAATCTTCTGATCGTGATTTCCATGGAGGATGAAGATTTTTGTATGGTGGTGTTCTTTGGGGTCTATGGGATTCATGGGTTTTTTAGGCATTTTCATTGTATGGGGACATTCTGAAGGATTCTTGGGGGGAGGGTGACAGGGGGATTAGAGAGAACAAACAATCAATTCTAGAATCCGAGGCCTAACGACGTACATGGAGCAATCTCTAACTTCATCTGGTCTTTGAATATATTCCATGCGAATTATTCGATGTGCTTCAATATGATGGAAATCTCATTGAAGGCCAAATTCGCCTAAACCCTAAACCCCCAAAACCTAAACCAAACCCTAAACCCCCTTGACCCCAAAACCTAAACCCTAAACCCCCTTGATCCCAGCGCGTCAGGCAGCTGACGCTGCTACGGCCAAGGCTGGGGAGCGAGGATCTCTCTGACAATGCTTCAGGTTCACTTCTAATTGCTTAAGAATCCCTGTAAAGTAAAAAGACTCTTCCTTATTAAGAGTAATATAGGGACTAGTACTTTTTTAAATTCTTTTGGGGTTCTTAAGCAAATAGTAGTTGGAGAGTTGAACAAAGAGTAAAGAATAACTGAGTTTATGGAGCAGACCTGCTTCAGGGGTTTTAAGCAAGCAACATGGCCGCCCGTCAGGGAAAACAGCCGAGCAGAACAACAGGCACATATCAGCCAAGGAATGATTTTTACAGCCAAGCACTTTTTCAAACACAAGCTAGCCAAAGCTCTAGCAAACATGTCAGTAACCAGTACATAGAGCTAAGCGAAAGGATCGAAGAACTTTTTTTCTGCCCTCATGCGCCCATGTAGCCCAAGCTTTTTCCAAATTGGACAGCTTTTCACAAACCACACCGAAATGGACAAGCCGGCGGTCGTTTCTTCATTTATCCAACATGGAAAGATTTGACAAACATCAGAGCATTCATTTGAATAAATGCGCGAACTAGAACATCTTTCAAGAGGAAGCTCTAAGCCGCGCCTCAGGAGCGCGGAGCTGGCAGAGCTCCCAGCTCCGCCACCAAACACCACAGAAAGTCCCACGGAGAGATCCCGGGAGTGCCACCCCCCAAGACCCTAAACCTTAAACCCTAAACCCTAGACCCTAAACACGAGTATCCCTGTACTGCCCACCCCGCGAGAATTCCACAGAGACTGTTTGGCCGCATCGGAGTTGCACTCGTGCTGCAAGTGAAGGAATCTGCTCATGATGGACAGGTAGCTACACTGCGTTCTTAACACCTGGGGGCATGCAGCACGTGTGGAGCTTAATTCAAACATTTTCAACACACCCCCCCCCCCCCGCCATTCAACATTCAAAGCACAGTTCTTGCCGATGGTGTTGAAGCAACAGACGCTCAACATGGCCAGAAGATCTTATGCCACAAGGCTTCAAAGCACTTTATGAGCAGCTGTGCCGAAGGCTCGGGACAGGTCAACTGAATCCTCCAAAGCTTTTGCGTGTTGGGCAGCCAGGAAGCAGTGCCGGAAACAAATAATAAATATACGAGTCGTTGTTTTTGTTTCTACCTGTGCTCTTCGTACACATTCCCTCAGCGTGATAGCGCAGGCCGGCTACCAGGTATGGCTGCATCATGCAGAAAGTATGGACCTGGGGGGTCACATGGAGTGACTAGCTTGGCGCACTTTTTTTTCTTCAGTTGAGAGCTCAAGGGCCCCCGCGCGGTGCACACTGTTCGGTTGGTATCTTTTGTGACAAAAAGTGGTTTAAAATGTCCTTCTTTTCACAAGGGGAGGACCTATCGGCTACGAGCTTTTTTTTAAGGCAGAAGCCGCAGATCGACACCGCAAATCGGGACACCTCTTGTAACTGATCTTAAACGGGGCAAGGAGCCTTCCGCCGCTTCCGCCATGGCCTTCGCGACTTTCAAGGAGGAGCTCGAGCAGTTGCAGCTGGAGCATCGTCTGCAAGAGGATTTGAGGAAGAAGCGGGAGATTATCATGGGGAAGCTGCAGAAGTCTGCTGAGCAACTGAGAGAGGTCGGCGGCGAGCCGTGCAAGCTCAGCATCCGGCATAAAGAAGATTGGCAGGAGCAGGAGTTCTTGCTGGCGATGCTGGACGCGGAGTTTGTTCAAGCGGCGATGGAGCAGAAAGATTTCAATGCGATGTACTACGATCCATTGACACTACTGCGAAATAAGGCCTTCTATGGCAAGCTGCTTGGGATGCTGGAAGGAAGGCCGCTGGCCCTCGTGACGGCCGCCGCACACTTGTACAGCTTCAAGCTGGTGAACTACCACTGGCCCCATGCCCGTGGCGATGCTGCCATCACGCAGGTGGCAGACTGCATTAACGAGTACTGCAGGGCCTTCAACGAACAACAATCGGACGCCGTGTGCGTTCCCTTCCGTTTTGGCGGCGACGAGTTCGCGATAGCCTTCATTTCGCACGAGGAATCGCACAAGGGCGGAGGCTACAATCTCCAGGATCTTTCGGCTAAACTTGCAGCCTTGGAGCTCTGCTTGGTTTCAATTCTCTCCACCAAGCCTTCCTCTCAAGACACTCAGTATATACTCAGTATAAACACACTGCTTCAAGCCCAACAAACCAGTAATGAGTTTGTTTTTTGTCAGCGTTCAGCAGACTATTCCCCATCAAGTTCGAGAGCTTGTCTTTGTTGGTGTGGGCATGCCTGAAGGACTTCCTAGCAGAGCTGCGCAAGGCCGTCGTTGCTAGCCTGCGGACGGTCTTCGACTTCAGTTGCCTGGACCCCAAGCCCGACCGCAATGGCAAGGAGCTTAAGGACTCAGGCCCGGGCATCAGCATCGCGGCATCGAACTCAGGGAACTGCCGCAAATCGCTTCGGGAGCTCCACCGCCTCTACGTCCAAGCACACGAGCATATGCATGAAGCCAAGCCGCCCAAGCCAACATGTAAACAGGGAGAAGGTAGATCGCCGCGCACGGATCTCTTCTTGGAATTGTCTTGTCAAAGACCTTCGAAACTTTGCAGCTACAGAGGCCCAGGAAAAGGCCGCCAGCGAGCTTAAGGACCTCGCCCGAGATGACGACAACAGGATTGCCGCCAGAAATTCCGGCGCCATCCCGCTGCTGGTGCAGCTCCTGAGCAGCGGCACCCTGGCGGCACGGGAAGCGGCTGCGGGCGCGCACAAGCGCCTGGCGGCCAATGACGGCAACAAGATGGCCATCGCAACTGCCGGCGCCATCCCGCTGCTGATGCAGCTTCTGAGCAGTGGCACGTTGGTGGCACGGGAAGCGGCTGCGGGCGCGCACAAGCGCCTGGCGGCCAATGACGGCAACAAGATGGCCATCGCAACTGCCGGCGCCATCCCGCTGCTGATGCAGCTTCTGAGCAGTGGCACGTTGGTGGCACGGGAAGCGATGGGAAGCGGCTGCGGGCGCGCACAAGCGCCTGGCGGCCAATGACGGCAACAAGATGGCCATCGCAACTGCCGGCGCCATCCCGCTGCTGATGCAGCTTCTGAGCAGTGGCACGTTGGTGGCACGGGAAGCGGCTGCGGGCGCGCACAAGCGCCTGGCGGCCAATGACGGCAACAAGATGGCCATCGCAACTGCCGGCGCCATCCCGCTGCTGATGCAGCTTCTGAGCAGTGGCACGTTGGTGGCACGGGAAGCGGCTGCGGGCGCGCACAAGCGCCTGGCGGCCAATGACGGCAACAAGATGGCCATCGCAACTGCCGGCGCCATCCCGCTGCTGATGCAGCTTCTGAGCAGTGGCACGTTGGTGGCACGGGAAGCGGCTGCGGGCGCGCACAAGCGCCTGGCGGCCAATGACGGCAACAAGATGGCCATCGCAACTGCCGGCGCCATCCCGCTGCTGATGCAGCTTCTGAGCAGTGGCACGTTGGTGGCACGGGAAGCGGCTGCGGGCGCGCACAAGCGCCTGGCGGCCAATGACGGCAACAAGATGGCCATCGCAACTGCCGGCGCCATCCCGCTGCTGATGCAGCTTCTGAGCAGTGGCACGTTGGTGGCACGGGAAGCGGCTGCGGGCGCGCACAAGCGCCTGGCGGCCAATGACGGCAACAAGATGGCCATCGCAACTGCCGGCGCCATCCCGCTGCTGATGCAGCTTCTGAGCAGTGGCACGTTGGTGGCACGGGAAGCGGCTGCGGGCGCGCACAAGCGCCTGGCGGCCAATGACGGCAACAAGATGGCCATCGCAACTGCCGGCGCCATCCCGCTGCTGATGCAGCTTCTGAGCAGTGGCACGTTGGTGGCACGGGAAGCGGCTGCGGGCGCGCACAAGCGCCTGGCGGCCAATGACGGCAACAAGATGGCCATCGCAACTGCCGGCGCCATCCCGCTGCTGATGCAGCTTCTGAGCAGTGGCACGTTGGTGGCACGGGAAGCGGCTGCGGGCGCGCACAAGCGCCTGGCGGCCAATGACGGCAACAAGATGGCCATCGCAACTGCCGGCGCCATCCCGCTGCTGATGCAGCTTCTGAGCAGTGGCACGTTGGTGGCACGGGAAGCGGCTGCGGGCGCGCACAAGCGCCTGGCGGCCAATGACGGCAACAAGATGGCCATCGCAACTGCCGGCGCCATCCCGCTGCTGATGCAGCTTCTGAGCAGTGGCACGTTGGTGGCACGGGAAGCGGCTGCGGGCGCGCACAAGCGCCTGGCGGCCAATGACGGCAACAAGATGGCCATCGCAACTGCCGGCGCCATCCCGCTGCTGATGCAGCTTCTGAGCAGTGGCACGTTGGTGGCACGGGAAGCGATGGGAAGCGGCTGCGGGCGCGCACAAGCGCCTGGCGGCCAATGACGGCAACAAGATGGCCATCGCAACTGCCGGCGCCATCCCGCTGCTGATGCAGCTTCTGAGCAGTGGCACGTTGGTGGCACGGGAAGCGGCTGCGGGCGCGCACAAGCGCCTGGCGGCCAATGACGGCAACAAGATGGCCATCGCAACTGCCGGCGCCATCCCGCTGCTGATGCAGCTTCTGAGCAGTGGCACGTTGGTGGCACGGGAAGCGGCTGCGGGCGCGCACAAGCGCCTGGCGGGCAATGACGGCAACAAGATGGCCATCGCAACTGCCGGCGCCATCCCGCTGCTGTGATCAGCTTCTGAGCAGTGGCACGTTGGTGGCACGGAAGCGGCTGCGGGCGCGCACAAGCGCCTGGCGGCCAATGACGGCAACAAGATGGCCATCGCAACTGCCGGCGCCATCCCGCTGCTGATGCAGCTTCTGAGCAGTGGCACGTTGGTGGCACGGGAAGCGGCTGCGGGCGCGCACAAGCGCCTGGCGGCCAATGACGGCAACAAGATGGCCATCGCAACTGCCGGCGCCATCCCGCTGCTGATGCAGCTTCTGAGCAGTGGCACGTTGGTGGCACGGGAAGCGATGGGAAGCGGCTGCGGGCGCGCACAAGCGCCTGGCGGCCAATGACGGCAACAAGATGGCCATCGCAACTGCCGGCGCCATCCCGCTGCTGATGCAGCTTCTGAGCAGTGGCACGTTGGTGGCACGGGAAGCGGCTGCGGGCGCGCACAAGCGCCTGGCGGCCAATGACGGCAACAAGATGGCCATCGCAACTGCCGGCGCCATCCCGCTGCTGATGCAGCTTCTGAGCAGTGGCACGTTGGTGGCACGGGAAGCGGCTGCGGGCGCGCACAAGCGCCTGGCGGCCAATGACGGCAACAAGATGGCCATCGCAACTGCCGGCGCCATCCCGCTGCTGATGCAGCTTCTGAGCAGTGGCACGTTGGTGGCACGGGAAGCGGCTGCGGGCGCGCACAAGCGCCTGGCGGCCAATGACGGCAACAAGATGGCCATCGCAACTGCCGGCGCCATCCCAGGAGCGCTCAAGAACCTGGCGGCCGCTGACAAGATTTCCATTGCAACTTCCGGTGCCATCCCGATGCGGAGCCTGATGGCCAACTTCAATGACGACAACATGATTGCTATCGCAAGTGCTGGCGCCATCCCGCCGCTGGTGCAGCTCCTGCGCCATGGCGCGCGTATGACTCAGGAAAGCGCTGCGGGTGCGCTCGGAAACCTGGCGCTCAGTGACGACAATAGGATTGCCATTGCAACTGCAGGCGCCATCCCGCTGCTGGTGCAAGTCCTGAGCAACGGCACTCCTCGGGCTGGGGGAATGGCCGCGCACGCACTCCGGAACCTGGCGGTCATTGACGACAACAGGAGTGCTATCGCAACTGCCGGCGCCATCCCGCCACTGGTGCAGCTCGTTGGCAACGGCACGCCTCTGGCTCGGGAAATGGCCGCGGGAGCGCTCGAGAACCTGACGGCCGATGACGACAACGCACTCGCCGCCGCAACTGCCGGTGCCATCCCGCCGCTAGTGCAGCTCCTGCGTGACGGCACGCCTTTGGCTCCGCAATGGGCTGCGGGAGCACTCCATAATATGGCCTGCAAGGACGACATCAAGATTGCCATCGCAAATGCCGGCGCCATCCCGCTGCTGGTGCAGCTCCTGAGCAGCGGCACGCCTCTGGCTCGGGAAAGTGCCACGGGAGCGCTCCGGAGCCTGGGCGTGCCACGCTTCTGTCATAGATGTCAGCATCAGCATGTTAATTAAACTTAGACATCGCATCAGCATTTACTTAGAAGTCTGGGTCTGCATTCGCACCTCAGAACTGACGGAGTATCGCGATCTCGGTGCGGAGAAGAAGAGGAGAATCTACTTCTGCCTTGCAGATGGAGCGGGTGTGGGAATTGTGCTTTTGGTTGGCCTTGGTGCGTTTTTGGCGGGCACTATGCCAGTTGCCATATGGTGCTGCCTGTGATCCCTGCGTCAGGCAGCTGTCTCTACGGCCAAGGCTGGGGATCTCAGAGAATCTCGACAAAGCTATGGCTCAGGGGGTTTTAGGGCGTGGCAGATCGCTCTGCAGTCCCTCCTCTTAAAAAGGGTTTCAGGAAAGTTGATCAACGAGAGAACGAAAGATATCTCGAGGTTATGTCTCTACTGGGGAAGAGCAAGAATCATGGCCTAACCCATTAGCATAAAAGCTACTGGAAACCAGAACAAATCAACAAGCGACAGCTAACACAGGATATTTGCAACATATGGTTCTTCTAACTAAAGTTAAACAAACGTATCAATAACCATCGTTAATATTGAGCAATAGTAACCAGTAAAACAGTAGCCAGTAATTTTTGCACTCGTGTACAGATGCCCAAAGCTAATGCTATTTAAATGGACAGCATGTATCCAACATGGAAGACAACAACGCTAAATTCGCAATCGCTGACTATGGGGGCGGGGGGGATGGCAGCGAAGTAACGAGTAGGGGCTTCGTCTTCTGCCTGTGCGCGGAAAATCGCCGTTCGGTCGAAGGTGTTGCGGTTTCCTTTGTTTGTCGGTGCTTTGGGGGTTTGGAACGAGTGGCATCTCAGGCACCACGTGGAAAGTTCCCAAACTGCAATGATGGAAATGCCTACGAACCCCGAGAAGCAAGATGGACATCAGATCCGAGCTTAGCTCAACCTGTTGCACTACTTCCTCCTCCCCTCCTCCTCGTCCGCAAGCAACAGGAAGAACAACTTGAGTTGTGGATAAATGCGGGCGAGCAGCAGGGTTGCAGCCACAGCTTCCACTTGGTGGGGTTGCTCAGGACAATATTTTCAACAAACCCCACATGGTTGCAAGCTCTCGAGAAAGTGTCCGCAGCCTGCTCTACACCTGGGCAATAACAAGGGGTCGATCTCTTCTGCCTCACACTGTTCTCGCAGTTGTTGCCGCGTGCCCCCTCAGGTGGCGGGTTCGCCAAGACGTTAATCATCACACCTCGGCACCAGAGTCAGCTTTTTCGGATCCAACTTCACGTGCACACTTCTCACCCGAAAGCTGTGGAAATCAAAAGCAACCAGCAAGCCCCAACTCTGAAAAAACCCGAACCCTAAGCACAACAACCGAATTTCAAAAACAGCAAAAGCCGTTTTCCGCGGAGGCCTCGGAGGCAGATACAGGCCAGAAGAAGGGCAAGTCGCAGGAAGAGGCGTCCCAGAAGAGTTGTCGAACGTTTGGGGCTTATCCCTAAACCCTAAACCCTAAACTATAGCGTTTAGGGTGAGGGGCCCGGTCACGGTTTGGGCTTCGAGGAAGCTGTACCAGGATTCTTGGGACCATGGACCTTCCGGCTTAGGACGGACGTCCCAGCCGGTTCCCATGATTTTTGCTGTGGGGTTTAGGGTTGGGGTTTAGGGTTTAGGGTTTAGGGTTTAGGGTTTAGGGTTTAGGGTTTAGGGTTTAGGGTTTAGGGTTTAGGGTTTAGGGTTTAGGGTTTAGGGTTTAGGGTTTAGGGTTTAATTAGGGTGTTGATCATCTTCAAAATCTAAATTTAGATGAATATATGTAGATACCGCAATTCTTGCATTCTACACAATTGAGATCTATTGAGAGACGGTGTATTCCGTGCTTGCTTGATTTTTGAGACTTCGCTTCAAATCTAGAGGTGGAATCTTCCATATTTCTTGATTTTTGAATCTTAGCCTCAAAGTGATGGTGAAGCCATCGGTGGCGCCACAGACTTAGTCAGATACCTGGTCACTTGGTCTTGGAAGAGTTGTTTTGAAACCCCGACACAGAATCCCTGACCAGGGTCTTGGGTTTAGGGTTTCGGGTTAGCTGTATATGAGGGCAACTACTTTGAGTACCATGGCTACCGCGGCACGACCGATCGCCACGTCTACTATTCCAAAGGAATTTTTGTCGTAGGCCAATCATTTTGCACTCGTGTACAGATGCCCAAAGCTAATTCTATTTAAATGGACAGCATGTATCCAACATGGAAGACAACAACGCTAAATTAGCAATCGCTGACCATGGGGGGGGGGGGCCGAAGTAGCGAGTCGGGGCTTCATCTTCTGCCTGTGCGCGGAAAGTCGCCGTTCGGTCGAAGGTGTTGCGGTTTCCTTTGTTTGTCGGTGCTTAGGGGGTTTGGAACGAGTGGCATCTCAGGCACCACTTGGTAAGTTCCCAAACTGCAATGATGGAAATGCCTACGAATCCTTAGAAACAATATGGAAATCAGATCCGAGCTCAGCTCAACTTATTGCACTACTTCCTCCTCCCCTCCTCCTCATCCGCAAGCAGCAGGAAGAATAACTTGAGTTGTGGATACATGCGGGCGAGCAGGGTTGCAGCCACAGCTTCCACTTGGTGGGGTTGCTCAGGACAATATTTTCAACAAGCCCCACATGGTTGCAAGCTCTCGAGAAAGTGTCCGCAGCCTGCTCTACACCTGGGCAATAACAAGGGGTCGATCTCTTCTGCCTCACACTGTTCTCGCAGTTGTTGCCGCGTGCCCCCTCAGGTGGCGGGTTCGCCAAGACGTTAATCATCACACCTCGGCACCAGAGTCAGCTTTTTCGGATCCAACTTCACGTGCACACTTCTCACCCGAAAGCTGTGGAAATCAAAAGCAACCAGCAAGCCCCAACTCTGAAAAAACCCGAACCCTAAGCACAACAACCGAATATCAAAAACAGCAAAAGCCGTTTTCCGCGGAGGCCTCGGAGGCAGATACAGGCCAGAAGAAGGGCAAGTCGCAGGAAGAGGCGTCCCAGAAGAGTTGTCGAACGTTTGGGGCTTATCCCTAAACCCTAAACCCTAAACTATAGCGTTTCGGGTGAGGGGCCCGGTCACGGTTTGGGCTTCGAGGAAGCTGTACCAGGATTCTTGGGACCATGGACCTTCCGGCTTAGGACGGACGTCCCAGCCGGTTCCCATGATTTTTGCTGTGGGGTTTAGGGTTGGGGTTTAGGGTTTAGGGTTTAGGGTTTAGGGTTTAGGGTTTAGGGTTTAGGGTTTAGGGTTTAGGGTTTAGGGTTTAGGGTTTAATTAGGGTGTTGATCATCTTCAAAATCTAAATTTAGATGAATATATGTAGATACCGCAATTCTTGCATTCTACACAATTGAGATCTATTGAGAGACGGTGTATTCCGTGCTTGCTTGATTTTTGAGACTTCGCTTCAAATCTAGAGGTGGAATCTTCCATATTTCTTGATTTTTGAATCTTAGCCTCAAAGTGATGGTGAAGCCATCGGTGGCGCCACAGACTTAGTCAGATACCTGGTCACTTGGTCTTGGAAGAGTTGTTTTGAAACCCCGACACAGAATCCCTGACCAGGGTCTTGGGTTTAGGGTTTCGGGTTAGCTGTATATGAGGGCAACTACTTTGAGTACCATGGCTACCGCGGCACGACCGATCGCCACGTCTACTATTCCAAAGGAATTTTTGTCGTAGGCCAATCATTTTGCACTCGTGTACAGATGCCCAAAGCTAATTCTATTTAAATGGACAGCATGTATCCAACATGGAAGACAACAACGCTAAATTAGCAATCGCTGACCATGGGGGGGGGGGGGCCGAAGTAGCGAGTCGGGGCTTCATCTTCTGCCTGTGCGCGGAAAGTCGCCGTTCGGTCGAAGGTGTTGCGGTTTCTTTTGTGTATCTGTGCTTAGGGGTTGGAACGAATGATATCTCAGGCACCACTTGGTAAGTTCCCAAATTGCAATGATGGAAATGCCTACGAATCCTTAGAAACAATATGGAAATCAGATCCGAGCTCAGCTCAACTTATTGCACTACTTCCTCCTCCCCTCTTCCTCCTCATCCGCAAGCAGCAGGAAGAATAACTTGAGTTGTGGATAAATACGGGCGAGGAGTAGGTTAGCAGCCATAGGCTTCCACTTGGTGGGGTTACTCAGGACAATATTCGCAACAAATCTCGTATGATTGCAAGCTCTCGAGTGAGAAAGTGTCCAGAGTCATAAGGTGTATTTCAATTACTTCTTTTCACTTTTCATTACGAAGCGAATTAATGAAGTGTATGAGCGTGAGAATAAAGAGAAGAAAATATGTGAATGAATGGGGATAAATGAACGTATTTTATAAACGCCCCATGAATCTTATTAAAAATATAAGGAAAAGAATATTACATTCATATCTTCTTTCTTTCGTTTGTAATTTAAATATGGTTCACTCATTCTAATTAATTTAAAGTTAGGATTTTGTGAATGGTTTTAATGAGTATTGTTCACCATATCTGATGTGGGAAGACTCACAACGTCTCAAGACGAATGAACAACCTCTTTGATTTGACTAATCACGATAATAATGATGATGATATTGTACTCGTGATTTTTTTTAATACTCGTGATTGCAGGCGGCACGTATTAGTTGGGGCAAGATTGATTCGGATGCCTCTTATTTTCGTTCGGCATCGCTCATGCGAAAGCAAGCACTACCCATCAATTTCACTATCCATATATATGGCCTGGACCCCCTTTCCTCTTCAAATCATATTATTCCCACCAAAACGAGACGGACACGCTAACTTCATATATATTGGGGACAAGGGTGATGGGAATATGCAAATACCATATCGTAGTTTCTCATTATATCTGATTCGAGGATAATATTATTTGTCTCTTGTCTTCTATAGGGAACATGAATCTCTCTCAAAGAAGATCTTATGTCATTATCAATCTTATCTTTAGATTGATAATGATTTGATATTAGGAATTCTAATATAGATTCCCATTCTATTAATGATTATGATCATTATGATATGATATATCATTCATCCTCTCATCAATAATGTTTAAAAGATTCGTGGATCTCTTCTATCTATCGTAATGGATGATTTGATATCCCATCTATTATAGATCTCAACAGAGGAGGAGATGAAATTTTCTGATCTCAAATGATATATTTTGATATTATAATTCCTACGAAGACGTATTCTAAGTCCTACGAAGGCTCATTATAACTCGGGGGGAGGATGATCAAGGGACAAGAGCCGCCATCGTCCCATATTCCGAGAAGGCACGTGCGATATTTGGGAGGACAATGATGATGGCAATACCATAATAAGCCGCTCACGAAGAATCGTCTAATAATACGAGATGGATGGAATGGAAATATTAGAATCAATTCTTATCTAACCGATATAGTATTGAGAATCTTGGATATGAATCCCTCGTATTCGAGAATATAAGAGGATTCGAGAAAGGAGGATATATGTTCTTGAATAATATTTTTCTTTGATTGATCATCATCCCAAGAGAAGGGATGATAATTCATCATGGACATATCTTTTGAATTTCGATTTATAATGAGATTTGAAGATGGTAATTCAGACTCATCGTATATTCCAATATGGATATATTATTGATCTTGATGGGACGGCAATATTCTATTCATGAATTTATATTATTTTTATAATGTCTTGGATCGTATATATTTCATCAGGATGATTATTCCTCAGAAAATATTTTTGTGGAATGATGATAAAACATTCTGATTTGGGCATTATGAATTGGATACTTCTCATTCAACGAATGATTTCTGATTTATCTATTCTGACTTAGAAGATTTTTCCTTCGATGAATTGTTTTCGATTATTTATTTTCTTATTTATCTTTGATTGATCATTGAGATCCGTCGGGAATTGGGAGAGATGATGGATTTTAAATATACGCCACCGAATCGATATCCTCCATCTTTTCTTTTTTATTTCCCTCTATCGAAGATATCTCTTATATATATCATGGAGAGTATGATTCTCTTTTGTTTCTTTATTATGGAAGATATGGGCAAATGAATATTTTTTTTGGAAATATCTTTTTGACCATAATTGTCTAATTTCTTTCTATCAAATTCGACCTATATACAAATCCCAGAGCCTTTGAAAATTTCCCCTTCTCAAATTGACGAATTAATCAATCTCTCTCGATGAAGATCTTAGAGAATTGGAATTTTTGGGAACAGAAATATCCGAATCGAAAGCTCTGAGCCGGATAGATCGTCTCCATATTTCGAATCCGGGATCTGAATATTCGACAATTTTTTTGAGAATATC